GTAGCGGAAACGAACAAAGCATCAGGTTTGCTCAAGCACCCGCATAGGAGGTGGCCGTGAGCCTGCACGAGGTGCGCCAGGCTGTCAGTGCGCAGCTCCTGAAGTTGACACGTCCATTCATCACCGTGAACACGACGTCCATTTTGGCCCGGGCCGAGCATGTTAGTAGTAGGAATCGTGGGCCAGTGGTGGTGGTAGTAGTAGTGGTGGTAGTAGTAGTAGCAGCAGCAGCAGCAGGGTGAAGCGTGCAAGAGCAAAGTCAACAGATGGTAAGCAAGGGCAAAGAACGATGAAAGGCGAGTTGTAGAACAGACTACAACTGCCGTTTCGAAGATGCGCTTGCGAGGTTTTGATTCATGAAGCAGTAGGTAGCCGCTGCCCTTCTGCCCTAGCCCCAAGCATGTCAAGCGATGGGGAGTGCAAACTCAAATGCGACGGACAGGTCGGCAAACGCTGCCAGGTGCAAATGGCATGTTGCGCCGGCCTGCGTTCACGAAGGAGTTGAACCATAAAACAAGAATACATCTACAAAAGCTGCAAAACTTAGCGCCCACAGTTTGCAGCAAATGTAGAACGGAAGGTAGCTTTAGCGACCCCAGTTTACTCAGCCTTAGCTATGGAAGGAAGTGCTCCATGAGGCTTGAGTTTGGGCTCTCGCAAGGCGGTTCCCACACAGCCCAGACACTTTCTGACAGATTGACAGCTATATTCTTTTCGCACAATTCACCAGAATGTGAAAATGGCCTTGTTTCAATTTGCCGGATTTGCACAGCTAGATTCTAAACCCGTACAAGCTTAGGATTCGCAGCTCACAGAACTATAACTGAGAAGCAACCTCACAAAGGTCTGAATCTAACAGACTTGAAACCTGTGACTCTTACCCAGGTGACCATGCCTTTCCAACCGTGGTATCCACCCATCAAACTAGGGCTTGCAAGCGGCTCTGTCGAGTTGGGCTTGTTCCAAGAAGCTCCTCACGAGTCTGAGGGAAATGGAGTGCCCGCAAGCTCTCCAAGTATTTTGGCAAATACGACTAGGAACAAGTGCATCGCTTCTAGTAACAAGTGCCATGCTAGTAGTAACAAGTGCCTTACTAGTAGTAACAAGAAGCTACTAGTTAGTTTAATTTAGTTTTAACTTAATTCTAATAGCAAATATTGTTACTACTAGTAAGGCACTTGTTTCTAGTAGCGTGGCACCTGTTACTAGAAGCGAATTTAATTAGAATGAATCCCCATCTCTTTGGCCGGCGCTATTAGGCACCACCCGTTTCTAATCGACAAACCCCCTCACACGCACGTCCACACTCCAAAAGCACAACAAGCTAACCATCTTCAATGCTTCAATGACATCCGTGACACACCGGTGTTCTGTGCCCTTCTTTTCGCAAATGCCGGTCGAGCCGACAAGCGGCCATCGCAGTTCACGAAGTGGCCGATCTTCTCGTGGCGCCCCAGGGAGTAGGGCGCAAAGTCCGTGGCAAACGTCCACCCTGCAGCTTGCAACCAACCTGCAACATTTCAGCGGGCAGCTTGTGATTTCCCCAAGGTGCGAAAAAAGACTCAACCTGCTCGCCGGCAGACTATGGGACGACTATGACGCTCTAACAAAGAGAGGAACAAAAATAAGGTGGACTTGGCTCCTTTTCCTCACAAAGAAAAGGAGCCCAGAATGATTGATTTCCTTTGTCCAAAAAAGACCAAAGGTGGACTTGTCAAGAAATCGGAGAAACTCTTGACGTTGCCATGGATGAAGCGCGTATGCGTGGAGACGTGGAGCCGTCGCACCCGCTTCGGCAGATGCTCCGCTAAGCCCCGGAGCATCCCCAGCTCCGCTTCGTCGGTGTCGATATCCACCAAGTCCCAAAGACCCGAACGGCTGTGGTTGCTCAGCAGTTGCCAAAGCTCCTAGGAACAAGTGCCACGCTACTAGGAACAAGTGCCTTACTAGTAGTCACAATGTTTGCTACTAGGAACAAGTGCCACGCTAGTAGTAACAAGTGCCTTACTAGTAGTAACAATGTTTGCTACTAGGAACAAGTGCCACGCTACTAGGAACAAGTGCCTTACTAGTAGTAACAATGTTTGCTACTAGGAACAAGTGCCACGCTACTAGGAACAAGTGCCTTACTAGTAGTAACAATGTTTGCTACTAGGAACAAGTGCCACGCTAGTATAGTAACAGGTGCCTTACTAGTAGTAACAAGGTGCCTTACTAGTAGTCCGATTCACAGGTCTAACATCTTCGCTTTTCAAGGACGACCTTTGAGACACAACAGTTATGAACCGTTTTCAAAAAAAAATCCAAGCGAGGAAAGAAAAAAAACAGTCTGAGTAGGGAAAACACTCCTTACTTACGTAAGCTGCTCCTAGGACCTAGCTATGCCTAGCCTCCCCAAACCCCTTTTTCGAAAGAAAAGGAAAAAGGACCGGATCCTTCGGCTGCACCACGAAGGCTTCGACGACGATCACCCGGCAGCGGTTCGGTGGAAGATTTCGATCTGCGTGCTCCTGCAGCAGCTGCCGGTCGAGGAGCAGAGGCTCCACGATGAGAACGTCGCAGGTGGCCTCCGGTGGCGCAAAGCGAAGGAAGGCGCGAGCCGCACGGATGGCCCAAATGCCATAGACACCTGCACCCACCTCGCGAAGTGACGTGAAGTCGTGACTGAAGTCAACAGAACAATAACATATCGAGACGAAATCAGAGTAGACCCAATTACAATGAAAAAGGTATAGCCTATATAGCAGCATAGCATCCACATAAAACAAACAAAGTTCCAAAAGCGAAGGTCATCCTATTCATGTGTCTCACCTCTGCCATGGCGAAGTGATCCCCTCGTTGGGCAGCCAAGAAGGCCGTGTCCATCACATCTTCCCATTCGAAATATTCCTCGTTACAAAAAAAACAAAAAGAAGGAAGCAAAAGAACAAATAGAAATCTATTTTACTTCATGTTCTTTTCCTTTTCATTTTCTTTGCTTCATTTTGGACTCCTCGTCCAACATGGGAAGCAACCGGCCCCAGTTTTTCACGAGAGCAGTGCACTCAAAGAAGTGGCTCAAGGGGCGACACGCATGCAACGTGGAATGCAAAGATCGGACGGAGCCAGCAGGGCAGTGGACGTCGGTCGCAGTGGTGACACCCAGGAAATCGTAAACCTCTCCTTGGTTGTTGGGTCCTTGAACCACACCAAACTGCTGGAAGATCGGCAAATGCTCTTTCTCACATCGTGCTGAAAATAAGTCGATGATACAATCTTGCTGCAAACCGACACGCTGCACAAAGCTCGCCTTCGAACGTTGTTGCATTAAGATGTTGTTGGTCACCAACTTCAGGCTCCCTGTCAAGTCCTGCCGCCGACCCGACAAAGGCGCCATGCTCTGGGTCATGACTGCTCTCACTGACTGCCATGTACTCATTTGTGCCGACAACTCTTCTTGTAGCTTCTCGGGAAAGAAGTCGAGACATGACCAATACAACCTCCGGACCAAGTGCAAATCTGCAGCGCGCATCTGCAAGTGTCTGAAGACCTCTTTACTCAACATATCTGCAAACCCTTTGCCCAAGACTTGAGGTAAAAAGGCGAAACAACAATCTTCCACACTCCGCTTCTGGCCGGACCAGCAGTGTGGATCATCACTTCCTTTACAACAGGACAAGATCCAATCCAATTTCCAATCACTTCCTTTGAGATCCTCCGTCCAACATCCCAAGCTGCGAGTAAACTCTTCAGACCAACAACGCGACGAGGAGCGATTGAGGAAGCTGCTCCTCAGATCGCCCAAGGACAGCTCGGCAATGGTCGTCCACAACCCACGCGACCAGGAGGGCATTTGGGCCAAACTGAGGAAGATCGAAGGTGTCACACGAGGTTGTCGCGTTTTTCTATGTTTAAGCTCACTGTTCAATCACTGAGGACCATGGAAGCAGTCGAAGTCAAAGGAATTTGTTGCTCAGTATTGCCTTGTTTGAGGCCCAACAAGGTCTCCTTCCTGTTCCCGCTCCTGTGGCATCGTCTCAGCCAGGCTTTGGGAAGGACCTTCCGTCGGCTTGACGTGTTGGTCGCCGCTTCTGGAGATGACACTGCCAGGGCACCGGAGCCGGGGGAACCCCAAGTGAACCCTATGTGTGGTCGATTCTGGTGAGTGGGAAACCCTGTGGGGATCGACGAAGGAGGACTGAGCCGGACTGATGGCCAAACCGGCTCGGGGGAGACTGATGGAAAGAATATGAAAGAATAGAAAAGCTTCGAATTTTTAAGTCTTTGGGCTCTGAGCACATTACCCTACGGATGAATGTGCCCTGAGTCTTGCACATTGCACTTTGAGCGGAACGCTTATGGCGGCCAGGTGCTCATGGCTTCGCAGCCTTTGTGCTTCTTTCGGAACACCGCAAGGATCCACAAGGTGATGATGCCATATTTGTCACTCTGCAAGCACTCCAAAAAAGCTTTCAGAATGCTTCTTCTAACGAATGAATTGCCATCTGCAAAAATTGCAGCGTGCAAACACATGTGAACATTCCTCTGAGATTTCTCTAGGTCTCTTGATCGGCCTTCGACTCTTCTTTCTGAGATGCCAAACATGTCCCAAACCAGTGCGCCACGACGGCTTTTCAGATTTTGCTATGGTTGTCTTGGAGTTCGTTGGAATCATGCTCTGAAGCTGTCTGCTTGTAGCTTGTTCTGATGGAAAACATCCATTACATCCATTCACTCTCTCTTCATCTGTCTTCCATGATGGCTGCAAACGGCGGAGGCAAGGGCTTGGTGTGACTAGGATATCCAAACAAATGCTGACTTGGCTACGGCTACATCCTCAGTTCTTTTGATAAACTGTCTGTTGAATTAATGAGTCCAAGTGTGTGTAGCCAAGCATCGCAAAACTGATGATGCTCTCCAGCTATCTATATTATCTACAAGTCTGAATCACTCATTTTTCCGAAAAAACGCCAACCGGTTTTGGCTCCGCGCGTGGCGAACACGTGCTCCGCGGCGCCCCCTTTTTTGTCGTTTCGATCCGTTGCCACAAATTCTGCGTCGCGAAAAGCCGGACCTGTGAGGCGTTCGAAGGGGAAGAACTCCGAAGATCGGATCCCCGTTCGTAGCGTCCGATCGCTCCTAATAGTAAGGCCAGGAGCCCCGTTCGTAGCTTCTTGTTCCTAGTAGCGATGCCAGGAGCCCCTAGTAGCTTTCTTGCTACTAGTAAGGCCAGGAGAAGAATGGATATTTTTTCGGCCAAAAGTAGCAATGTAAGCCACATATTTTTGACATGGATTCACTTACATTAGGCCCGATTCACAGATTCTGCTTTGACAGAATGGATCGATTTGGCGAAGGTATTTTCTGGACTCTCCGGCCTCCAGGGATTGGCTGTTAAGATGCCCTGAGCGGCAGGCCACAAAGGGAGATTGGTCTTTGGTCGAGATCTTGTCACCTGCATTTAAAGACTCATTGGATTCTTCTATCAGCTCCCCTTACTAGGAGTGATCGGACCCTACTAGGGGATCCTGGCATCGCTACTAGGGGTTCCTGGCCTTACTACTAGTAGCATTTGTACTATTCCAGAGTTAAGAGGCACCACAGCAGAAACTCCACAAAGTGAAAAAATCACACTCCCTGCAGCTTCAACAAACTGCTCATTCCTCACATACGTCCCGAGTGCAAGAACATTGAGGTCTGCTACGGAGAGCTAAGAGGCTGGGACAAATAGAACAGGCTCCTTCAAGCATGGCTAGATCCTCATCTTTTGAGTTGAAGAACGGAGACAACAGGTCATACTATGTCATACTGTACCAACCTTCCATCACCCACTCACAAATCACACTTCTGTGAAACCCCCCTCATTTGGTAAGTTCATTTTCTATGTTGCGGGCCGCTCCCGGAGGACGCCTTTCGCACACAAGCAAACAGAGTACACAGCACGGTTTTTTCTCCGACGTGACACATGATTTGCTTTTTTCTGCACTCTGAAGCCGCTGTAGCTGATGTTGAGACCTCTTATTGTTGGAAAACAGCACTCAACAGCCCTCGACACGAAGACTTGTTGTCTTCTGGGTCATCGGGCAGGTCGCAGTGGCCGCCGTTCCCAAAGAAGAAACTGCTGCTGGCTGCGACGGCCTCGAAGAAACGAGTGAAACATCGTCTCGAACGAGTCGTTTTCGCCATATCGTTTGCGCTTGAAGCTCGCGACTTCCGTCCAAGTAAACGTGGAAACTGTTGGTCGGCACATCGTTTGGAAACCATCCTGCTTGATAGGATGATAGGTCGGCAATCAATGCTTAGTCTGTTGCACGAGCAACTGTGTAGCGGTTTTTGATTGATCCGCTTTTATTTGTTCTCCAACCAATAGGAGGTCTACAAACATCCATTCCTTTTCCTGGGGAGCTTGGACAAGGTTCCCCACAGACCGATCCAGACAACTCAACGTCCAAGCCGACCGCACAGACCCGAAACCACAAAAAAACCACGGAAAGAAAGATCTCACCTTCTCGTTGTCTTCTCGTTCTCTTCTCACCTTCTCCACTTCCTTCCTTTTTCCTTCTCCAACACAAGACCCTTCTTCGCTTCACCGGTGACACCACACCCTCGCTGGAGGCCGGGCTGACATGAAGAGCGGATCCGGGCAGCTCGAGTCGAAGCGCTCGGCCTAGAGATTTCCACAGCGTGTCACAACAAGGTGAAAACAACGCGACACGAGTGGCGCCAAAAGGTTGAAACAATCAGAAGAAGAATGGTGTGTCATCTCTGGAGTCAGGAGTATCATGAGTGTCATGTGCATGGGGAGGTGTCATGTCGTTGGCCTTTCGATTTCATGACCAACAGCTTTTCAAAGGTTGAAATGGTCAAAAGTTGTTGCAACACTGATCGTTTCATTAGTTGTTGAATGGGCATCCAACAAAAAATGACAGTTCTATGGTGGCAGTTGACGAACGCAACACTGCCACTCCAAAATTAGCCAAACAAAGAAGGGCTTGCAGCTTTGCTTGCCCTTTGCGTGTGATGTTGATCAATCCAAGCGGCAAAATGGCCAATCTCCCCATTTTGACCTCAGGCTGAAGGAACTCCGTTTGGAATGTATGAGAAGCAAGAAACATTGAAATCCTTCGAAATATCTTTGTGAAGCTGATGGATTCTTCACATAGAATCGGGTTGTAGATGTAGTAGCCAGCGCTCAGGGTCCCCATTGTATGAGCTCCAGCACCTTTTGGGTGGACGGGCCAGAAATCCTGACCCAGAACCCCCTGTGCCACACTGGAACTAGCTAAATATCCTCTACCTGCAGTGTTGCAGGACATCTCCTATTTAAGCAGCAAATAATTACCCCTTCTGAACACACGGATGGCATTTCACTTTCAGAAGCAAAACTCATCAACGAAGCTGGAACGAAGCTGGGCATAAACTGGAAGACAAAGTCCTTCTGCAAAACCGGTTGTATAACTAGTTTCAGTTTTTGGTTGATTAACCTATTTTTTCTTGGAACCAAATCAGGAGTGCGAGCGTGAGCTATTCTGCGTCTACATGTAGTAGCTTCCTATTGCTAGTAGCGAACTAGTTTCTCCCTTGCTTTACTAAGTAAGGAGGCAGGGGCACGAGCTAAAACCAAACTTCTTCCCCCAAAACCATCCTTTTTCAGGTCGTCGAGGCTTAAGCCCAACGTCCACTTCCACTGACCTCCACTGGGTGTCCCCAACGCTGCTTCAGCTCGCCAAGGCTCGACCAGGCTGAGGCCGTGGGTTTTGCGGAGCCCCGAAACGACATGGGTTTTGCCGTTTTGCCAAAAACATATTCCAAGAAAATACATTAGACATAAACATCTATTTGACATAAACAAACATTAGACATGAAGTATTTTCCGTTTTGGAATCCACGACCTTTCAAGCTTTTAGTAGAAACTGCTTTTTCAGGATGGTTTCTCTTTTTTTTCAGACTCCCAAACTGGTCGAAAAGGGTCCGAGGTCTGTCACGTTTGATGGACCTGAAATCGGCCATCCCAAACTCTCTTGAAGCCTGCTCCTTGGATCTCCCTTCGAACGACTTCGATCTGTGCTGGGTGGCTCTCACATGCCTCTTCTCGGGGAACGGTAGAAACTGACCTAATTATCATCAAGAACATTCGCTGCCATCGGCCAAACAGGTGTTCGGTGTTTGATCATTTCATCTCTGGGGACATGACTTTGCAGCTCGAAACTTTTCAGAAGATGAAATGAAGAGCTCTCACTCGGAAGGAGGTCACACAAAACATCCCAAAACCAATCGCGTGAACATGAACGTCCATGAAGGAAGATTCAAATGTACTTAGTTCTCAAACCAAATGTACTTCGGTGTCCTCAGTGCTTCGCTACCTTGTTCACCACTTTGGAAACACCAGCCGAACGGCCCTTCGGAACAGCTTGGCGTTCGGCCTCGGCCGAAGTGTTCGAAGGGGTCTCTGCCTCAAACGGCACTTCACTGCAGGAACCAGCGGGATCACAGCCAATCTCTCGGAAAATGACATCGAGAAAAGAAAGGCACTTGCTCACTTTTACTCGTTTGCAAGGCACTAACAGACTCACATCAGCTTTGTCCACACCGAGTTAAACCCTCGCGAACGAGCTCTTCCGAGATGCAAGTATTCTTGCCCATGAAGTCGCTTTGCCCTGGAGACCACGACTTTCACGAGAAGCCGACCGGAAGTCCCTGGGGTACATCCGACAGAACTGCCCTAGCCGACCAAACAAACACCTTGGCGACCCCTAGGCCCAGGCTGTCTCGCCTTGCTCACCTTTCGACGTGACGTAGCGCTACTCTCATACATGAAGGCTGGACCCGGAAAACCACCACCCTCCGTCGACGGACGAAGCCGTCACCATTGGTCACCTCGACCTTTCGAGCTCCGACTCTGGACCAACTACTAATTTTAATATGATTCTAAATAAATTAATAGTAGCTTCTTGTTACTAATAGTAAGGCACTTGTTACTAGAAGCGATGCACTTGTTCCTAGTAGCGTGGCACTTGTTACTGCCCCGCCTGAGCCGGGCATCGAGAGATCCCACTGGAGCTGCCTGGAAGGACGAAACGACGAGAACGCGCACCGGAGAGTTGGTTGTCAGGACAGCCAGCTTTGGTGAATCCAAGGAAAGCCTCAAGCTAAGCTGGGGTTGTCTTGCGGAGTGAGTTGTTTTCGGCTTCTCAGATTGGATCCTCAGCAGTCATCACTTGAAAGCGTTCAGATCCTTTTTTGGGAGTGAACACATTATCTGACAAAGGCCTCAGTGTGTGACCACATTCAATTGGAGTTGCTCAAAGACCTGTCACCCTGCCACAGGAGCAGCAGCATTGATCCCGTGAGCACTCGGACATGGGCTCAGGCTCGTCTCCAAAAATGGTCCAATCAATTGGACCGAGCAGTCAAGTTGGAGCTTTTAAAAGGATGGCAGGATGGATGCATCGCTTTGCCTTTCTTTTGGCTCGACCTCTTTGGGAGATCTGGATCTCCTCTTCGTCACAAAACGAAGTTCTCCTGAAGCGACCCTCAAGCCCATTGAATTCAGCAATCTGAACAGCGACGTCATCGACGCTCCCAGAACCCCACCCGACCGACGGAAGCGACGGAACCGGCCCGGAAGCGCTTCCGACCCGTTCCGGGCCTCAAGTTGAGATGTGCCGGATTGAAGAAGGCGTGAGAGGTCCGGAGCCTGGGAGAACAGAGAATTATAGTAGTAACAAGTGCCACGCTAGTAGTAACAGGTGCCTTACTAGTAGTAACAAGAAGCTATTAGAATTAAACTAATTTTAATTTTAAATCCAATAGCAAACATTGTTACTACTAGTAAGGCACTTGTTACTAGTAGCGATGCACTTGTTACTAGGAGCGTGAGAGGTCCGGAGCCTGGGAGAACAGAGAATTATAGTAGTAACAAGTGCCACGCTAGTAGTAACAGGTGCCTTACTAGTAGTAACAAGAAGCTATTAGAATTAAACTAAATTTAATTTTAAATCCAATAGCAAACATTGTTACTACTAGTAAGGCACTTGTTACTAGTAGCGATGCACTTGTTACTAGGAGCGTGAGAGGTCCGGAGCCTGGGAGAACAGAGAACGCTCCGAGAAGAGTTTTCGAAAGGCTGCGAATCAAACCGGTCCAACGCTGGTCGTTCACTAGTCAAAGGTATCTGCTGGTAGATACTTCAAGTAGCTTTAAAGAGTATATTATATTCTTTTCAATGTGACCGGTGGGAATTTTTGCGCTTCGGAAGCTGACGATGTGTGACCCCAACTGATTGTGGGAGCAGCCGGTGGTGCCTAATTAGTTTTTTGCATGTTTTAGTGCTTTTCACTTCGCTATGCTCAAGAGTGGGTGTAGTTGCGAGACTCGACGTGCGATCGCCATGGTGAGGAAAGGATTCCAGGGTCTACTTCACATGAAACCAGTCGCACTTTGAACAACCTGCTGGTGTCATCGCTAGTGGAGGCCATCCCTAGGAGGCCATTGCGGTTGGAAGTCATTCACACGTTCACTTCGAGCTTCACGTCTCTTCACGCCCCGAGCGAGGGAAGACTTCAAATTCCACAGGCCTGAACTAGGGACGGCTGTTACTGGGTGATCCCTGCTTGACATAGACGAAGTGAATGGCATTCGGTATGATCATGACCGCATAGATGATCCACCTCGAGTCGGACACACGAGTCCACGAGCATCGAAGTGTCCGAGGGTGGAAGACTGGGCTCAGAGTTCCTGTTACGAGCTGGGTAAACCATGTTAAACTATCCACCTCCGTTGGTGGGTAAAGCAACTTCAAATAAGTGCAACTCATGCAATCTGATTGATCAATCAGGCTCTTTCTCTTTGGAAGCAATGATGCCTTGGACTTGATGACTTCCTCAGCTTTTCTGGCCTCTGCAGCCTCTCAATTAAGTGTTCTTTCGATTGGCAGAACTGGACGGAAGACAGAACACGTCTCGAAAGGCCTTGCACCTCTGACATGTGGCATGTACATGTCGTTTTCTAAACATCGTTCAATGCCAATCTGGGGCAAGGCTTGCTCAATCCCAGACAGCTCGGGTTCGGTTCAGGAAATAGACAAACACGGAAAACAAACAAGGGATTCCTAAGCGATTTACTTCTAACTAGTGAGGTGGGGCAGTCCTTCCTCTCTGGGCTTCCCGGCTGATTGGACCAAACGAGCAACTGGACCAAGATCGCATTCATCATTAACAACGCCCCCAGCATAACGGCCTCACGCTGGCGGTGCAGTCACACGTTCACGTTTTCGCTTTTGCGACCGGAGCAGAGAAACAAACGGGTTGGGAGCAAAGAACCTCATGCTAAACTAATGAGTACCGATGCTGAATCAGCACACCTAAACTCTACAACTTGAATCAAATGGCTCTCACTCCAATCTGTCATGAGAATCAGCTCACCATAAATGCATCTCAAGTATGCAGGTTGCAGAAACCTTGGCAAAACCATGGAAGCCTGACCTCAGAAACCGGAGAAGTTGAGATCCGCTTTCTCTTCTGCGCAATGCGCGCCTTCGCTCGCTGCGAATCGCCCAGGATGTAGACGATGGGCCAAAGACCATGACGCCTTTGGCGGGCGACATGATCGAGCAGTAACAAGGGCATCGCTACTAGGAGCAAGAAGCTATTAGCTTATTGTTTCTACTAGCTTCTTGTTACTACTAGTAAGGCACTTGTTACTACTAGCGATGCACTTGTTACATCTTGTTACTACGAACGGAGCAAGAAGCTACTTCTCAAGATCTTCCCGATCTTTCAATCTTGAGGCGGGGTCAACATCTCCGCACCAAAGCCGCCCAACATGGCCTAGCCCATCCGTCTATTTTGTGACCGAGCGTGATTTCACAAAGGCTGATCATCAATTCCTTGCAGGAAGACCCTTGTTCCTAGTAGCGTCCTTGCTCCGTTCGTAGCGATGCCAGGAGCCCCTAGTAGCTTCTTGCTCCTAGTAGTAAGGCCAGGAGCCCAGAGTAGCGTCCTTGCTCCTGACAGAGATCCAAGCTCGAAGAAACAACCGCAGTTCAACGGACTTGGCTGAGGACCAAGTCGACCGCAGGATCCGCAGGGAGATCAAAGCTGGGAACCCGTGCGTGCTGGTTGGCATAGACGTATTCAAGGTGGCCTCGGTGCAGGCAAAGGAGGCCGTCCATGGTGTCAAACGCATGTAAAAAAGAAGCACCTTCTTACTAGTAGCTTCTTGTTACTAGCAGTAATGCCAGGAGCTACTAATAGCGTCCTTGCTCCGTTCGTAGAGATGCCTTTGTTACTACAATCGCCACCGAGGATCGATTCGATTCGATCGGATGGGCGGTCTGTGGTGGCTGGAGTGCTTTGCAAGATCATGATAACTCCGGTTTGGCTGCCTTGAACGGACATGTCTCCCTGAAATCTGCACTGCCCCTTGGGAGAAGAGAGCAAGTGCAAGTCAAGAATTTCAACATGGCCTCTTCTCAGAACGCACACATTGGAGCAACAACCGCGGACCTATGACTGTCCACTTCCAATAAACGGGACACCCTGAAAACAGTGTTCCCCTTCTCAAAACCCGATGTTTTTCAGGTTCCATGCGGTTTTGGGCGCCAGCGGCAAAACGGTGACTTCTCTGACACCGAGCAGCCATAGCTTCGTAATATCGACCTTTGCACAGGACCACCGAGCCTGGCATCGAATGGCTGCGCCACATCCCGTGGAACGACCAGGTTTCGATGCGAAACTGAAGGAAACACAGGGAACGAAGAATGGGATACCTGCTTCGTTCCTGGTTCACTTGCAGCTCGAATTCTGGAATTCAGCTCGTTCCTTTTCAATCCTCTTTCGAAACTCATCCGTTTGAGTTCTCCACCCCCTTCGGTCACCCCTTGACTTCTCCACCCCTTCGGTCCCCTTCGGTCCCCTTCGGTCACCTTCGGTCCGTTCTTCGGCCTCGGGGATATGGACAACTGTGTGATGACCACTCCGCGGCTTTCTGCTTCCCCTGAGCGCAAATCGAACGGGCCATCCAGGAGGGTTGACTTCCTTGTGCCGCCTCGTGGGGGAGGGAAGCTGTGAATCTACGATCGCGATGGCCTCCAACCTAGTAGCTTCTTGTTGCTAGTAAGAATGCTCCGTTCGTAGCGATGCCAGGAGCCCCTAGTAGCATCCTTGCTCCTAGTACCGACGGCCTTTGCTCCTAGTAGCGTCCTTGCTCCTCATAGAAGAAAAGGCTTTCAACCTGAACTTTCAACTGGGGCCAAGAACGAACGCTCCACGACATATGTTCAAAGTCTTGAGGACTGTAGAAAACCAAAGTCTAGGGCAAATACGGAGGTCACCAAAACCCCGACGTGTCCCATCGTGTCCCTCTGGGCTTCCCTGGCCGGATCCGCGATCCGCCGCCAGTCTCCGAGCATCCGCACCCTAACGAACGAAGAATTTGCGGAAGAGAAACTGTGGAACGAGATCCTTTCTTTGGCCGCACAGGCAAACATGGAGCTTTGACATTTGTAGAGCAGCTCCTACAGATCCTCGCTGATGTGATATTTCAAGCAAAGAAACTGGAGTGGGAAGCTAAGCGTACTCTCCGCCAGAAGGAAAAGATCAGATCACACTTTCATGCACCTGCCAAGCAAAATGGATATGAACATTGACTAGCAAGAAGCTACTGGGGGCTCCTGGCCTTACTAGGAACAAGGACGCTACTACGACCTCCTGGCATCGCTACGAACGGAGCTGAGCAATACCGGAGGAACGTCAAGATGTGAAGTTGTGACCTCTCGAGGGTTCTCTTCCCCTTAGTAGTAACAAGTGCCTCGCTAGTAGAAACAGGTGCCACGCTAGTAGTAACAAGTGCCTTACTGGTAGTAACAATGTTTGCTATTAATTCTAATTAAATTCGTAACTTGTTACTACTAGTAAGGCACCTGTTACTAGTAGCGATGAACTTGTTCCTAGTAGCTTCTTGTTACTAGTAGTAAGGCACCTCTTACTACTAGCGTGGCACGGGTGGAACGCACTGGCCCAAGTGAGACATGTGTAACTTCTGGATGCCTTGCGGTGCCCCTGGTCGCAAACCGCCAGGAGGCCTGTCTTCGCCATGAGCACCTCCATCCCCATCACTTGCGCCGCCCGTTTGGAAGGTGATCCAAGGCTCCCATCCGGCGCCCAACAGCCATTGAACAAAGCCTGCTTGATCTACCAACCCTGCTTGATCTATGTTAAATGTTAATAGCACAGCACTTAGTTCCACCACCTTGGTCCATCCCTAGTCTCCCAGTCAGAAAAAGGACGCTCATCGCCTCGGAACAGCTCCGCCCCTGGGCCGCCGGGCTGTTGCAATGCTTCGGAGCCGAGACAGTGCAACTCCTGCCGCGTTGGGTCGTGCGACGCGCCAACAAGGGGCGCTCGGATCCGAGGTCCGAGTCAGCTAGCTCTTCAGTGGAGCAAGTGGGTCTTCCGAAAAAGACGAAAGACATGGAGAAAAAAATGAGAACTGAGGACTTTCCATGAGCAGAATGTCCAAGAAAGACCCATCCTGTGACACTTTCCACCTCAAAACCCTTGTGCCATCACACCGTAGTCACACGACGCCCTGCCATGGCCCACGTGGAAAGCCGACCGCCCTCGGCCGCCCTCGTCTCTCCAGGCATAGGAAGCTGAGGAAGATGTGCACGGTGACGAGGACCGTGAGAAACTCAGCGACGCGGACGCGGAGTTTAACCCGCTCAGCGACCGACCGAGCGGTCTTTCCCGGACCCGATGGTTTCGTTGGTCTTCAGCCTGCCAAACGAAGCTCTCTCCCCAACGAGACCGCTGCAATTTAAGCTTCCCACCGCACAGCGTGAGGTGTCGTAGTAGATGTAGTCATAGCGCACGAACCTGCAGGCTTGGGAGGCGACAGTTGGAGCCAATGACCATTACTGGACAAGTGTGGGGCAAGTTCAAGGTGACAAGTGACATGTGGTCCTTAAAAAGTCATCCCGAGTTTGTAGATGGCTGGAAACACCCAGCGATGTGTCACATCGTATGAAAAACCAAGTCACCTGCCGCCGAAGATTCCTGAGGAGTCGCCCCAATTTCCCCGATTACCCACCTCAGCGGGAGAACGCCAATACAATAGGCCGCTTCCACGCTGTGATAGACACATCGTCGGAGCCTCAGGCTTCGCAGATCTTCGCAGATCTTCGGTTCAGCGAACTGGTCTACAGATTGCTTTGAGGCAAAGAACATGGAGTGCTTTTGAAGACGCAAATGTGAACAGTGTTCGGGTGAACAGCGGATTCCATGAGCCAAGCAAAACCAGTTCCTTTGAGCTCCGTTCCTTTGAGCCAGGTCGGGGCATGAGTCAATTCGTTGATCCTCGATACGGTGACTCGTTGGCAGGTCAGTCGAAACATGGCCATGTTCTGGGAACCTTCAATTCTTATCTACTACATTTAGTCCGCAGGTGACCTCTGCTGAGTCGTTCTCTTCTACAATGTATATTAACCCTCCCAGTGAGGTGACCGTGCTTAGGGATCACTCTCGAAGACGATTTCGAACTCCGCTCCTTTGAGTCGCTTCCTCCATCGAACCTGGTCGCACCTGTCGGGTGCCCGGACATGTTGAAGAGCTCGGCCGTGAAGACATTGGTTTGTTGCTTCCTCAGATGAATCTGTCCGTGGTGCGGAAGACGTGGAAAACCTCCAAAGCCCTCCTTTTCCAACAGGTTCTTTTTCCGCATGCTTTGAGTCTTTTTGGAGTGCCTCTTCCTTCCAGTTCTCGACTGCCCTGAATCTCAAGTAACTAGCGCTCTATCTTGCCAGGCGGCAAATAACCATGGTAGAAGAGAGCGCTCACAATTAATGGTAACCTCAGCGCATTCGCAGTTCATACATCTTCATTCGTTCTGCTGAATACCGGATCACTCACCTGAGCTCTCGAAAGGATTCCTTGAGCTGCAAGAAAGGCAACGGATGGGATTTCGGAATCAGGACTGAAAAGGCAGCTTGTGTCTGAATCAACCGCTGGCAGACTTTTGAGATCTTGACGTCTTCCTCCAACCTCTCAGGCCCCAACGCCAAGTAGACCCCTGCGAAGTGGTCCTGCCACAGGTCGCGCGCTGCTTGCGCATCCAAAGAAACATGGGTGGGGACACTTCTGCTTGGTGGGCCGTCCTATCGTCCTATCCGAATCGGTTCCCAAAGAAAGACATATTCTTGCGAGAAAAACTGCCAAATTGGGACATCCACTACACCTGAGCTGGAGCTCCTTGGGGACGGAGCTGTTCCTGGTGAGCCTCGTCTTTCACCTGCTCACCACTGCGAGTCCATCATGCCAGACTCTCAGGTGTCCTGCATGGCGAGAGTCAACGCGCAGTAGAGGGAGTCCACCATGACAAAGAAGAGGGTGAGATGGCACCTGTCGCGCCGATGTGCGATGCGCCGATGTGACAAGAAGGGCAGGGGGCACCCGGAGGCCACGCGGCCAAGACGAAGGGTTTCCGAAGCTGTTTGACAGCCTAGCCAGCCCATGTCAAACCCTTCTCGGAACGGCCTTGGCCACAGGCGGCCATTGGATAGAAGTGTTTGGATCTATGAATCGACAAAGAGATCAGGAAAATAAATTAATAGCAAACATTGTTACTACTAGTAAGGCACCTGTTACTACTAGCGTGGCACTTGTTACTAGAAGCTAAGGAACACGAGTGGTGAGATTTTGCCTTCAGACGATCCTCTTGGAGATTGAAATACCTTCAACTCCCGGGAAAGTTCTCTGCCATGGAATCAGAATCTCCACAGCCGTAGGGCAAAAGAACCAAAGATTCGGACTTGATTCTCCTAAAGCTGATCTTCGTTATCAATGCTGACCCGGTCCCTTCTTGTTCGAAACGCTTGCTCGGTGACATCGGACTCTCCCCTGGGCTGTCCCGACGCGAAGCGGATGCCGTGGGCGTCCGAGAATTGCGTCATCCGCCAGAGGAAGAACCTCCGGGTACCGTTCGACGTTCGACGTCAAGGAACGTTAAGGAACGTCAGAAGACGCCACGTGGTCAGTTCTGTCATCCGACGCTATGTTTTGGGGCGAAATCAAAGCGGCTACAGCCCCTCGCCTTTTTTCCACAAAACCATTGATCATAGTGCCAGAAGCGTAAAAATAGATCATTTGTTGTGGCCTCCTTGTTTGTGCTTCGACCGACTTCAACACACAATACACTCAGATACACACATTGTGGACGACGACACATGATTTGCCAATATGAGGATTGGTCAAACGGTCTCTCAAAAGGCCACATTGGATGTGAACCACGACTTAGCGGTTGGTCGACGAAAGCACGGTCGAATGATGCTCTAGGACCCCGAAACAGACTTCCTGCAAACCGCCGGGCCGGGGTGGTCATGAGGGATGCCCCATGGAAACGACAGTTTCCCTAAAAACCTAGGAACCAAAGGGAGGAGCTTCCTTGAAGAAGCCTGAGCTATCCTGCGTCCATACTTGGAGCGTACTAGTAAGGTACTAGCTACCTCAATTCCTTACTTAATCAAGTAGGCAGAGGAGCTTCCTTATTAAGTAAGGAGGGGGGGCGAGCGGGAAACGACACCGGTGTCCCATGGTTCTTTCACCGCGCCAGATTCGTTGTGCGAAGAAGAAGGTGGTGAGCAAGATGAGGTGGAAGTTGCTGCCTCAGTTGAAACCAAATCCGATCAAAATCAGGAAGTCTTTGGCACAGCACAAGAGCCTGGGATTTTGGAGAATCACACTCCCTTGGGACGTTGTGAAGGTCTTTTGGTAGTCTCGTCCATGAGCCCTTTGACGGATTCCAAGCAGAAGAGATTGAAGTGACCTCGTGTTTCAAGCGATTGAACACCGACCCCCAAACTGTTACTGTTTGTTTTCCATTTCTTCGCGACATCTATCGATTTGGGGATCTGAGTTTGGAGGTCAAAGCTCTCACCTCACAAAACACATCCTTGGCTGGCTGGCCCTCCCGGTCGGGTCCCATCGGCGGAAAGACACATGGGATTGAGAACCCCGCCCAAAGCGAAGCCTTCGCTTTTCCAGCTTTTTTGGGGACCGAAAATGGTCGGTCTGCGTCCAGTCGTCCTCTCCAAAAAGGCGGTCAACCACTGCTGTAAAGATCGTTCAACACATCCAAACATAACTAACATAGCGATGGCCTCCAACCTAGAAACGGTCCCTTTTCGGGATGGGAGTGGCTACCTTTTGTGAAGATCCGTTTTTCACTGGGCAAACTTAGAAGTTTGAGGCACGAAGCCGTCGGTTGGCAAAAACAAATAACTTAAGTTTGTGAAAGCTTTCACACCAGGTTGCTTTGGATGTTGAGGCGTGTGATGTTGTAGTTCTGCAAGAGCAAATAGCAAACCTGAACCACATCGACGTCACGTCGGACTTCGAGAAAGACCCCGTTCACGAGGCGATCGATGGTCTGTCAGCATGTCAGAGCACCCCAAGATTTGTATTTCCTGAATATCCACATGGATCTGAGCTGCGAGCTAACATGAGCTAACAATGAACTCCCAAAAGCCTAATGCATAAGATTTTCAAGGCTCTTCTAGCGCTCCTCCCATCTCACACTTCTCTTCAACTTCTAAAACAGAATCTCACTCCTCCCCTTCACCTCAATCACCACCTCTCAAACCACCTTTCCCAAGACTCCGAAGGCCCTCTCGGCCTGGGTCCCCCAGTGGGTGATCTCGCCGAGCCAATCGTGGCTCTCCGTCTGCTGCAGGTGACGCAAGATGGAGTCCTGCCACTCTCGCCAAAGACCGGCCAGTACCGGCACCGCGAACGGCAGTGGAAAGAACGACCGTGGAGGAAAGTATCGCCAAGCAATTCCATGCTGAACGGATGGAGCGAAAGACCAAAACCGCACCGACCCACGGAGCCCCGCTCCACTTTGGCGAAGTCCGCGGGCGTCTCGTAGCTGTGCCTGGCACGTCTCGGGTCAAAGGGGCGAGTCGTTCAACGGGTCACTGTCGAGAGGAGTCCGGGTCGCCCCAAGGGTCGCTGTTACACGCGTCTCGGATGCCGCACCTCTTCATGTCAGCCTTCATGGCGATCGATGCGCACGGAGGATGGCACGGGTCGGAAAGGATCTTCTTGGTCGAACAAAAACACCGCCGGTGAAGGAGAAAGGACGTGTTGTTTCTGGAAAGGTTCATTTGAACCGCTACACCAGAGTCGTTCGTCTCAGAACGGAGCGATTTGGGATTTGAACGATTTCGAGATGGGTCACAGTCACGCCATGGGGCTTGGCCCAAAGAAGATACCATTCGCACCATTGAGCCGTGAAGAGGAATGGTTTCTCACGTCATTTCTTTGACAAGTTCTGAGCCACTTTGAGCAAGCTGGCGGACACGGGGGTCGAGGGCCCTGTGGCAGCACAAGAAGCTCACGTGACTCACACGAGCCTATGCGGGTGGCATCAAACCGCGAACCGCTTGGTGATCGATGCAAATCTCGGTTTCAACAACTCAGCCCCACTCCATTCACCTGTCGACATGGGAAGCACCTCATCCACGTTCGCTGAAAAATAATCCCTCCACATGTCAGACGGTCGGAGGTGAACCGAACCGGATCGATGAAAACGCCCACCAGCCCGGTGAGCGAAAGAAAAGGTGCTCGGACCCGAGCGATTTGTGCGTGACTTTCGCCGGTTCTTCGGGTACAACAAGGTCCATCCCCAGTGGAGATGTTCATTTTTTTAAATGACATATTTGCTTGATTCCTACGAAGAACACCTCTTTCGCCCATCCAACCGTCCCTTTTTCGCTCTTGTTGAGGTCGCGTCAGAGATCTGGCAAAGCCAAGCAGTGAAACTGTGGCGTGCCACGCGCAACTGGCGCCTTCCTTTACAATGTCGTATTTCAGATCCTCTTTGAGGGGATGGCCAAGGAAAGGACAGCTCTCTCTGAGCCTTCAGGATTTTCGTTATGTTGCATTTTTTCTTTAGAAAAACTGGCGCAAACACTGGTTATTGGACTAAGGAAGAATCATCTTCCAAATCATTTCCAATACCTTCCGTTTTTGTTTGAAGGCCTCTTTTGCTAGTAGGTTGGAGGCCATTGCTCGTCGGAAACCTTTGGGCTTGGCCTCGAAATCCCATTCCTTGGACCAGCCCCTTTTCGATCTGATCCGCACGTCGCAAGCTGGGCGCAGAGACTTTTTCCTCAGCGAGTCTGCCGGTCTTCGCAAGATATTTGTTTGCTTTGCGACGCGATGAAAGCACGCCATGGAAAAGATCCAATGAATCCAATCCGTGCTTTGCTTTTTCCCGTCGAAAGACAAACAGGAGTCCGTTGAGTACAACACTCAGCCGGCGGCCTCAAGTGTTTTTTGGGAGGCTTTCACAGGTCTGATTGGGCTGACGGCGGCCGAAGTGGCAACAGTTTGGGTCAATGCCTCAAATCCTTAGGACATCTTTGAGTCTGCGTGACTTCTGGTTCCTTTCATTATCCTTGACATGTAAAAAACACACACACACACACTACACACAAACTGGGACACACAAAACATCAGCACCGGATAAAACGGCCGCTTTGTTGTAGCAGGACCGACAGATGCCGGATGCCTAGTTGAAAGAATCTTGTGCAGTTTTCTCACGTATTATTTTTGGGGTTACAACCAATAAACAATGATGGTTTCTATTGAACAAAAACTAGCCATCAACATGTCCCGTTGCTTTTCTCATTGTCCTCCGCCCAGCTGTGCTTTCGATCTTCGCTCTTCGCGCGGCTTCTTCCCGCCAAAACACGTCGTTCCCCCGAGAGGGCCACGCGCGGTGGCCACATGTTTGACCAGAGTCACCCGGCTCAGTTTCATTAACAATGGGGCACAGGACACGACATGGGGGATGCTGGAAGAACATATTCCAAAGAACTTCCACGCTTTTCTTTCTTCATTCTTCTTTGTAAATCCTCCAAAGAAATTTTCACCTTCAAGGGTAATCCCCCTAAATAGTTCACCAGGGATCTAGCGCAGAGAAACGGCGCTGGGGAGGTCAAAATAGGTGTCTTGTGTGGTGAAAGTCATGCGCCATACCTGCACGTGTTTGTCGTGCAGAAACCCGGTGTGTCTCATGATTTCCTGCAGTTCGCATTCCGAGCTTCAAGATAGAGAAAACCAATCAGGTCCGTGGTCCTGCCCAAGAGCTAGCTGAGGACAGCTTGAGGACGGCTTCATGTTTGCCCCCCAAAAAAGCTCCGATTTCTCGAGACCGATTCCCCACGTGGCTGGCGTGACGTGGATCTCGGGGGATCTGGATGCGGATGGTGACCAAAACGATTGAAAATTCGTCTCCCCGAGGCGGCGCAAACTTGGCAGGCTGCCCTTTTCATCGAGTGTTTTGGCAGCTTTCGCCTCGGGATCTCAGAGGTAGCCTCGCTGGGAGGTGCTCCACATTGGTTTTTCACACCCGTTTTGAGTAGCTCTTTCCTTCGAGGGTCATCCACCTCATCTTGGTCCGGAAGCAGACTTTTCAGAAAACAAAGAGGATCGAGCACATGGATGCAAAAGATGAGGACTTCACCAGATGGGCTTTAAACACATGCCAGGGTGGGGCGAGTGGAGTGAGCGGGTCGGGTTTCAAACCGAAAACTCTCGTCTGATCTTCCTCCCAGCCGAGGCTAGGTCCATCCAGGCAACACCTGGAAACGTCTCACCGATCCTGGTGCAACAAGCAAACCATGATGTCATCTGCATGGATACCGAAAGAAACCCCGAAAAAAGACTCGGAACGGACTTGGAACAGCAAGGTGGTCTGTCTATTTTTGTGTTCCATCTTGCAGGAAAAAACAACCGTTGGATTCTGTCCAAGGATTCTTGGGATGGTGACCTCCACCGGCCTTGGCATGGGTTCCAACGCTCGGTTCGACGCTCAGTGAACATCCACACTGCGCGAGGGACGCTTCACAAAGCGGCAGACTTCTGCACATGCTGAAGAGCTTGCCATCTTTCTAGGAACGGGAGGTTCCATTCGTTCCATTTTCACAGGACTGTTCCAGGTCGCTTCACTTCCGCTTTTCTGGGGGGGAAGTTGTTTGCAAAGACCTCCGGAGCAAGCAAGGATGTACCAAACAAAGACCTCTGGCCTCCAAAGACGCCTGGCCTCCACGGATCTATACGTGTTTCCTTCGAATGGGCGCCGTCGCGACGCTTTCCTTTCTCTTTGCTGTGTTGGACCTTCTTCTGGATCGGTGTTGACCAGCCCGCTGCGGCGCCATTGAGCGCTGCGATCGGGAATCTGGGCAGGGCTAGACCTCGATGAAACGGGTACTCCCGATCACCCCCCCTCTGAGCAGGGCTAGACCTCACCTCTTCTGCTTGGCCGTTTTTTATGGAAACAGTGAAACACCCTGTTCTCCTGTTGCCATGTTCATTCTCCACCACAAGCTGGCCACCTTCCGGCTTCCGGCGCGGACTGGCCCGAATGACTTGGGGTGCAAGACACCAAACCAAAAGGGTCCCCAAACCAGCGTTTCCACCACCTCACCATCTGTTTCTTCTTTCGTAAGCACACCAAAACCACCTCTCTGGACGTCCCGCGCCCGGCTCAATAGTGTGGGGTGTCGCGTGTGGCGTGTCGTGTGTTGGGGGTGTCGGGAGTTGGGTCAAGTCATGTTTGGATCCACTCACATGGCACCTGAGCCTCTCTTCTTTTCGACGCGCCAACAAGACGCGACAGCACAAGACCTGATTTCTGGACCAAAAATCCGAAGACCAAAGCGACCAAGCCGATATAACTCGTGGTCGGTGTGTCGACCGGAGTTTAAACCGTTGCTTTCTGGTGGGTGGAGCAACCCCATTTCACAGAACGACACTCGTTCCTCGTTCAGTCTTGAACAGTCTCCGAAGCTCTCCCAGAGCCCGAAAAAAAGGGTCCCCACCAGACATGGAGTGCCAGGGTCTGTGAAGTCCAAAAAACCTGAATGTTTGTGAGTACCAGCCGTCGACCAAACCAATTTCTTCCACACTCGCACTAGACTCACTAGACTAGACCTCTCATCCTACCTACCGGTCCTTCCTTTGAACTTCCAGGACTTGGCCCTGAAAAAACTTGACCGATTGTGACGGGTTCTGGAACCCCCTCACCAGCTGGTGGAACATCTGCTCCGTCGGCCTCGGCCACAGCCACGTGAGTGGATCGAAAAAAGAGGCACCACACAGCGCCCGCGCGTGGTTCACGGCGCGGCTTCGGAGACGTTCACGGCGGGGATCACCACGAAAACTCACAGTCCTCCACCTGGCGCGATGGATGTTGAAGGGATGGCGGATGAACGAAGCGAAGTCACCATCTGAGGATTTTTTGTGCCAAGTGTTTTTGAAGTTTTGGTGAGAAAATGGGATTGGTGGGTCAGCGTTGGGACTAAAACATATAGAGTTTGAGCAATGTTGGTAGCTTTTGGATGGTCAAAACACATAGCGGTTTTGGGTGGTTGGAAGTTCCAAGAGCCGAGTAAATGAGTAAAGACTGCCACTGAACGTGCCACCAAAGGCAGAAGGCACTTCTTTGCAAGGCCTCTTTGTCTGACTTGGGGTTCCATAGACTGGCACTTGTTACATGAGAAAAGAAGCTACTAGTGACAAGTGCATCGCTTCTAGTAACAAGTGCCTTACTGGTAGTAACAATGTTTGCTATTAGAAACAAGAAAACAAATAACCATAGACCCTCCACCAGCAACTTGGAATCCTTTCAGACTGGCTCCCGACCCTCCATGGACTGGGGACCACCTGGCTGGCGTGGTCCGGATCCGAAGAACCCTCTGGTCCCCTGCTCCAAGGCACATCACCACCTTCCGAAAGGTAAGGCCCTTGGCAGTTCTGTTCTTGACACCTGTCAAATCATGTAAACATGTACACACCAATTCCACCGAATCACATCACACCTTCCAATCCAACCGAAGCAACGCCGTCGGCCATAGCTATGGCACGGCCTCGATGGGCCACAGATCCACCGCCTCTTGGCCGTAGCCACACGTGGCCAACCTGAGGACGAACGTCTCCAAACGTCTCCAGAGGGGCCTTTCCCTCCCTTTCCTGCTCATCTTCGAGGGGCAAAGACCACTCCATTTCTTTCTTCTGGAGTCGATCGAAAAAAACGAAAGTGCCAACCACTTTGGTCACCGCGTCCATCCTGGGCCAGCCACCATCGGCTGTCCATGCTGAAGGCGAGGCCACAAAGCCTGCAGTCGCCGGGGTTTGCCCCAGCATCGCCCCGGGCAGTCGCGAGAGTGGCGTCTCAGCCTTCCAAGGAGAACGCTTGGAACAGGGCCGTAGGCCGTAGGTGTTGGATATAGAGCAATCCTTCACATCTTGCGTGGTGGAGCATTTGGGAGTTCGAGGTGGGGATCTGCCAGTTCGACCAAGGCCAAACGCACCGAGAGAAGGCTCAGTTTGCTTGCTCGCTTTGTTGGACCCGATCCAAGAATGGAGCTCGTCCAGAATCTGCAGCAATCTACCAAAAAGAATCCGAATCCTCTCTTTGCCCCTCATAGATCCGCTGGAACCATCTTGAAACATGAGGGATTTAGTTATAAACCATGATTTTTCACTATAGTAACAAGAAGCTACTAGGAACAAGTGCATCGCTTCTAGTAGCAAGTGCCTTACTAGTAGTAACAATGTTCGCTACTAGGAACAAGTGCATCAAGCGGACCCACGTCCACCACGTCCATCACCTGAGCTTCCCCACCAATCCTCCGCCTGGCCCGTCTCCACGTGTCTCCGGTCCGGGTCCGGTGGAGTGGTGGACTTGGGGGACGAATTGGGTGACCCGGTTCCGGAAGGATGTCCCATATGGAAGACGTTGTCCTTTTTTTGGAGCAGAACCTGGCACATCCTGGTGAGTACCTGGCACATGGACCTATGAATGACCTAGTTACTAGTTTGGAGCAGGATCTGCTGATGGTGCAGCAAGTTCATCTAGAGTCTAGAGCTTTCTTTTCATTCAACGATCTTGATCGCGTACTCTCCGCAAATGAATAGACTGACCAAAGCTGAATGCCGAACTAAGCAGGGTTTGTTCCAAATGCGGAGAATACGAACTATGATGCACAAAAGCGAAGGATTGAGAACGCACAGAGTTATTTATCTTTTTAAATAAGAAGCGTTGGAACCCAAGCATCATGATACGGTCGGTAGTGGCACAGCCTTACCTAACTTTCAAGTGACCCAGGACTCAGACTGAGAAGAATTCACAACATCGAATGCAATTGCAAGTTCATGCCACGCCCAACTTCTCAAAATGATTCATTCGATTTCATTGGTAAAAAGAGCCGACCTCATGCCTCGGCATTGCTCACACTCAAAAAGGACTCTTCACGGACCCACAGCATGGGCCCCACTTCAGGACAGTCAGCATCACCGAAGACCACACGCGTCCCTCGATCACATACTCGAACGGGTCGTTCGCTTTTGAAACAGACCGTCGCTCTGATCAAAGAGCCCTTCAGCACTGACATCAGGTCAGTTCTGCATCTGGGAGAAATGATGCAAATCTGCCATGAAGGCACGTAAAAGTGCCGTTCATTTGTCCAAGAATGCACCGCATCAGTGTCACCTGCGCGAGTTGATCATCCTCTACCACTTGTTCTCACTCATGTAGTGTGAGATGAGCTCTTTCGGACCAGTCACTGGCACCTCTGAGGGTCCTGTGTGTACTGTCCTCAAGGACATCGTCCCACGTTCCCTGACCGGTGGGGTCGCGTCAGCCGGACCGTCCCCGGGCCTTCGGCAAATGAAGCACCACCCGCTTGAAGAGGACCTCAAATCATAGCGATGGACCCGCATGTGTTGCTTGGAGCACACCAGAGGGGGCCTGTTCTGTTGGAATTTTGGAAGTAGGATGGTGCCAGGGATTGATTCACCTAGAAACGAGATTGAACGATTCTTCAGCTGAAGTGCGGTCCAAACATGGCAACCAAAAAGTGATCAAAAATGATGAGTTGCTTTGATGGATTTCTTTGCCAAGTCCTGCAAAAGGAGGACATTCAGCCCCTAGTCTCTCCCAAAAACACATGTTGAGATGAGGATTGTTTTTTTGACGTCTCCTGCTTCTAAACCTTCCATTCTGAAAACCCTCGCTTCTGTCTGCCCCGAAAGCTGTCCGGAGTCTGGTACCTCGATGGAACGGACAAACCACCAACTGGTCGTTGGAGCAATTCCATTGATCGGTCGTTGGTCGATGCTTCGAGGCTTCGAGGCTTCGAGGCATCGCGGCGGCCGAGTTCAACCGGGCATCCCGGACATCCCACACGGAGACACGCATGTCCTGGCGAGGGATGCGTGAGAACGAACCGAAGCCACTCTTCTTCGCCACGTGAAGAAGAAAGCTTCCGAAAAGGCTGGGATGAAGATGCTGCAAAAGCTTGAAGAGTCGCCAAAGAAACCTGTATAGGAAAATGTCACACGTATGTGCTTTGAACACTCCGATTCATTTCTTTCATTACTTTCATCTATGTCCTTCTTCCAAAATCTTCATCCAAAAACATACAGAAGGAGCTCAGCCCAATGCAAACCCTAGACTCATCCAAACCACCACCCAACCCACTCATTTCACCTCAAGCGCTGCGATTCGCGCGGCGATTCGCGCCTCGCCGGCGGAGGCCAAGAGCCGGGAATTGCGGGTCCAGGCCAAGGTGCGAATCCCGGCGCCGCAGAGCAGCTCCTCCACCTGAGAGCTGGTCGGTCCACCGACGGACTGGACTGGGACTGGTGGTCGAAGCGGTTTCTGTTTCTGTCGAAACTGGTGGAAGTTGGAGTTTCCACAGTGGTCCACAGATGTTGGCGAGCAGCTTGCTAGAGGGAACAGCTGCTGGAAGAACACTTGAAGGATCTTGGATTCAACTCACTACCAACAACGTACTACTGTTGCCGCAAAGATTCTGCCGTCCATGCTGCCAACAGCCTCCAACAGCTGTTGACAGCTGTCAGGTCTCCCTTCAGATTCACCCAGGTCTTCACTCACAGATGTGTCACTCCTTCACTTCTTACTTGCTTCTTGCCACTAGTAGCGATGGCCTCCAGCATAGCGTCCTCCGTCACCTTTTCTACTCCCTCCCTCGTGTCGCTTCACTTCGCTGCACACCTGTTACTACTAGCGTGGCACTTGTTTCTACTAGCTTATTGTTACTACTAGTAAGGCACTTGTTACTAGTAGCGATGCACTTGTTACTAGTAGCTTCTTGTGCCTTCTCAAACTTCTTCCCCACCGAGAGAATGGAAATCGTCCGGTCCTGCGAGGAAAGAGGGAGGAATTCGCTTTCAAATTTACGGCCATTTGAGAGGTCAATTTAGGCACTTTCTGGTTCGTTTTTAGAGGTAAAGTTGCATTTTGTATTTTGCTATTTGGGATCTCTTGTACTCTTAGGATGGGGAAGAGGCTGACCTTCCGTCCGCAGTGACCTTGTGAACGGTGGGGCCATGCCGTGTTAAGACTGTATCATACTGTATCCATGATGGCAAGACCCCTTGCAGGTTGGTACGAAAAACACTTGTAAACCGCAAACCACAACCGTCAATCTGGAATGGGCACAACCTTCAAAATCCAAATTTCAAATTCGATTAACGAGATGCTCCCAACTTCCCCGGGCGGAGAGCCACCGCTGAGGTGTGCACGGTCTATGGTCTATGATCGTTTTTCCAACATGTTTTGAACAGTTCTAACGGGGAAGGGTAACGGTTGGCGTTTGTTCATGTCTTCCGAAAGAATGTGCAAACAGCCCTTGGAGTCCTTCAGGTCTTTCCTTCAAAAACATTCTTTCGAGGTTGACGTCATCAAAGCTAGGAGTAGATGTTGCGGATCCCGCCTTGCCCCAGATTCATTCTAGGGACAATCACCTAAGCTGGAGGGGCAATCCAGGATTTGTCCAACGCTGTTTTTACCACAAAACGGAGCAATCATGAACAGATCGTCACATCTTCTGACCCACTTATACTTACTCTTATGTTAGCCGTGTCTGTTTTCAGATCACCTTGCTTCTTCTCATCACCTTCCGTCCTCCCCAGCCAAGGCCAAGCATTGCCCCGAGGGCGAGAAGGCCGCGGTGTGGCAGAAGTCCTCGACCATTCGAGCTCGATCGACGGGAATCGCAGACGGCTTTTTTCAGAGACCTTGAGGGGTTCGGGTTTGGGCGAGGTATGACGACGGGGTTTTCACGGTTTTCACGGTTTCATTCCAAGATCCTTACAAGACGAATGAACACTCGTGGAGTGAGCGCTTGGAACTCTGTGTAGTCCGTGTTCGCCGGTGTGAATACACTGGCCCACCAAAGTCAGGTCTGAAGCTCTGTTAAAAACACGAGGAGATTTCGCACATGGAAACATGGTCAGTGGCGATATGGTGCTTTTGGTCCTTTTTTTGGGTTGGCAGGTTCAGGTGTCAAACACACTGAAGTGAACAGTTTTGAGTCTACACTAAAAACTGCTTAACACCGTCTTGCCTTGGATGGAGCTTTCGGAAAGTGATCAACACTTCCGCCCAGCGGCTGTTCCAACATCAGGAGCCTTTTCAACCAACAAAACCAATTCGATTTCTGGAAAAACATCTCTTGCCATAACTGGACACGGTATTCACCACATACCGGACACTGCTTTCGAACGGCCGTCTCCGTCCTCACCCCTAAGGCCGGCCTCACCCCTCTCGTTTCCCGCTCTCCTGGAGGTTCACGGTCTTCACCTCGTCCCAAAGCCCCGCCAGCTCCGTGGACTTCCACACCATCGCCTGCGCCCGACCGAACGCGACCGACGGGAAAGGGAGGAAGGCCACGCCGCCCATGCTGGCGATGGGCGGTGAGAGAGGTATGACCCGAAAAAGAAGGGCCGTGCTGCGGTGCGGTGCGAGAGAAGTACGTCCCTTCTTCGACTTGTCAAAACTGAATGAGTTCTCTCCAGGGGATGTTTTCTTGTATGGTTGTTGTTGGAACATGTTTCAACAACTCTTTTTGGCAGGAAGTGATCACCACTGTTCGTTCGCTGCATCCCAAAATGCGACCAACGACGAACTTGAGGCGACGGAGGTGGACGAAAGGTAGAGGTTGGAAGATTCTGAGCAGGAGCAAGCAGCCAGCAGCAGCAGCAGCAAACCAGCAAAGCAGCAAAGCAAAAAGGTAGTAGAAAAGGCAGCAGCAGCAGCAGCAGCAGCAGCAAACGAGCAGCAGCAAACGAGCAGCAGCAAACGAGCAGCAGCAAACGAGCAGCAGCAAACGAGCAGCAGCAAACGAGCAGCAGCAGCAGCGGCGGCGGCGGCAGCAGCAGCAAAGCACCAAAGCTCACAAGTTTGGCCTCCACAACCCTTGGTTTTCGTTCAGTTTGGGGTTGCGCAGACGAAATTGGAGGGTGGAGACTTGTGGTCGAGGGCGAAAGAAAGGAACTCTCAGATCAGCAGGTGCCAATTCCTTGGAGCAAAGCGATTGGTGGTTGGTGCACATCCGGTGCGAACGGGTGAGTTCCAAGGGCAAGGAGATCGTGTCAACATCTGATGCAGCTGCGGCCAGGTATGCGTCGTATTCGTGCAGTGGTGGCATGATTGGACCAGCAACTCCTGCATGAAGAGGTTCATGGAGGAATCTCACCAGCAGAAGCAGCATCAGCGCTTGCTACACGAGCTGCACAATGCGATGGTCTTCGTTTCGAACCCATGTTATCAAAATCTTGTGGAGGGATTTTATCCAGGCCTTCTGGCAACGTATCAGCAGGAGGTGAAGTTTCGTTCACTGTTCTGGAATGATTCGCTGCTGAAACCAAAGCAAGAGGTGGCGTTTTCGCCGCTGAAGATCAAGCGTCGGCCAGTACCACAACATGACTCCAGCAATCATGAACGCCTTGAACATTGGGTCAGAGCCAGATCCATCACGTCCGAAGTCTTTTGGCTCCTCGATCCAGGGTGTATCAACAGCCTTGCGCCAAGCAAAGCGCCGAGGTCTCAGCAAAGTGAAGGAAGAGCAAGATGCTGCGGCGACTGCTGACGACGCTTAGGAGAGCACACCACCAGGTGGGTCGACGAGCAGCCCTCCGGATGTGTGGGGGCAGGCTGGGTGTTCAGTCAGGCATCTGCTCGCCAACGGCATGCTGCTGAGTCAAAGAAGAAGAAGAAGAAGAAGGACACGCGAAAGTCGCGCAAGAAGAACAAGCTGGCGAAGGTCAGGCAGGTAAGCAGCAGCAAGCAATCTGGAAAGGGTGCCTCAAAGGCCGCTATTCGCAAGAGCAAGGCCACTGGCGGAGCTGAACTTGTAATGAAGGAGAAGGCTGGATCTGTGCCGAAGCAAGCAGATTCGTCTCAGCCCAGTCAGAGGAAGAAGAGCGACGGTCCTAATTGCTCAGCAATTGCCGCGTTCGAAGCTTGGTGCGACAGCGGCGCACCAAGAAGTCGAAGGGGGTCGAGGCGCTATACTGGCGACTTGCGACTGGAGATGAGCCAAAGGCCTGAGGTGAACCTGAACCGCGGCTTCAACGCTTCAACTGAAGCTGAAGCTTCCTCAAAGGAATGGTCACCAAGGGTGCATAGTAGATGTCTTTTTGAGGGTTGAACACTAAGAGATTGGACAGATTTGGGTTGGCAGACATCTCGAACGTTTGATTGTGTGGTGGCATGAGGTTGTGGTTGAACATCTTTGTTTTGCGCTCAAGCTGCTTTCAAGCATACTGTGCTCAGATGCTTTTGTGTGATCGACTTTCTTGCATTTGGAGGGATGGCAGCCGCAGCTCATACTACCTCTACCGCAATCCCTGCAGTGAATGGGGTTCTCTTTGCGGGAGAAGGCCTGTAGGGAGGTCGCTCAGCAGACAGCCTCGAGAAGGATTTATTTGAATGGTCAATTTCTGGAGAAGTGAACCCAGGAAACCTGATCTTGGAGCATTCTGGTCCCTACCAGGAAAGACTTTGGTCGAGTTGAGGGCAAAGCGCCAGGAGCGCCTTGAGCACTTGCGAGCCCGAGCTTCCCTGTTTTCATTGTACTTGGAGAAAATCATTATTCTCCAGAGTGGGCCTGCGGAGGGAGAAGAAAATTCTCACAATCGGATGTCCAAGACTCGAATGTGGACATGCCCACAGGACCAGACCATCGATAGATTGGTAGATACCACCCGTAACAGCAAATCATAAAGTAAATGTTTGGTGTTCCAGGGTTTAGTAACCATGAAAGTTCGAGATTATGGATTTTAATGGTGCACCGGGTCTAGAGTCTAGAGGTTGCCGATCATTTTAGACATCATAAAAGGGATAGGGCCTTCTGTCCTCCAAAACGCCCAACGCCTCACGACCTCGGCTGGCCTTCATGTTGCGGTTTTCCTTGGCACTGTAGTCCAAAAGGCCATCGGTGAGATCCATGCCTGCGCTGTCCACAGAGAAACATCACCAAGAGAACCAGCAGTTTTGGTCTTGTTTGGTACGTGTGCGAAGTCACATGGTCTTCGGAACACAACATAACGGCCGGGCACCGCAATTCCAGCATCTAAGGGGCGGATTGGCGGATCAATGCGGGTGCCGGTTGACTGAACTTTCTCAGCACAAACCAATGGAAACACACCCTTTCAGCAACAGCACACCGTAGAATTCTGGATTCCAAGAAAGGTTTCCCAGCAAAAAGCTCCCGCATCCTTCCCGCCCGAAAACTCATCTTTCAAACCGGTAGAGGCCGGGACTTGCTTAGTCAATGACTTCTACCAAACTATTGCAAAGGGTGACTGAATGTGAGTTGACTGTGCAAAGGCATGCGTATACAAATGATGTGACGGTCATGGTCAAGGTCTGCCTCCGGCGGCCGCCAGCATCCCAAGGGACGGGGCGAAGCTCAGGCTATGCACCTGGCACCGCGGTGCGCGGTGCGTCCGGTGCCCTGCGCGGTGAAAATGAAACGAGCGCTGGGTCACCCTAGTGGCGAAGGTTTTGACCGCCCTAAGAGCGATGGTCAACCCGAAGGCACCTTAAAGTCCTGGCACGATCTTCCACCGAAGATAACACCCAGCGACAGTTTGGCCGAAACGTCTGGTCCCAGGCGTCCGAGGTTTTCGGTAGCCAAAGCCTGCAAAAAAGAACCCACAACAATTTGGGCAAATGACATGTTTCGTGACCTGGGGATGAATCAATCATTTGCGTTTTATTCCTTTAAAGTTCATATTATACCTGCATCAAGGCTACTGCATTTCTTGACAGCATGCCCCCAAAGCGTTCTCTTAAACTGAGCACGTTTGGCACCCCTATTTCAATCCATAGTGAAAGCCCTCACTGAAGGAATGTACAAACCATCTATTTACGAAGTCCTGACCTTTGGAGATGCTCACCAGCCTCTGTCTCAAAACGGGTGGACACCTACGTAAGCTCGCAGTTGGCCTATGTTGGTTCATTCACCTTCCCTGTGAAGTTCTGTCTCAAAATGAGCTGACACTAGTAGATCACAGATCACCACAGATCACCAGTGGCATACTCTAACATGGACCTTGGCCACTTTGAAACTCGACACGCACCCTTTCTGCTGACAAACCTGTGATCTCCAAAAGGCGGACCGAAAACCCTTCGCCTGCCGCTGGCCGACCACGCCACCCGTGCCGCGCGTCCACCGTGACGTCACCTGACCGCCATGCTGCAGGGACGCCACCTCTTCGAGCCGTGGCACCTGAGCAGACGATGCAGTTCGCTACGAACGGGCCAGGAGCCTGGCATCGCTACGACCGGAGCGATCGGACGCCACTAGGTTTGAATGCTATTTCAAGCAAAAAACCCCATCCCATCCAATTGAACGTGTAAGCTCAGTCCATGAAGACTGCTGTCAGTTCGACATTTCACCAGTCAGTGTGCCGGGAGACCCACCACAGAGGGTCGTAGACTCTTCAGAACATGCTGGATGGCTCTATCATGCTCTATCCATCGGCACTCACCTTGGCACAACGCTTCATTACACCAGCATAGACCCAGATAGCTAGGCAGAATCCTACGACCTGTTGACACGCGGCTGGCTGGAACAAGAATGCGCAACTGATGGCTCAACGGACGGTGTGTGGAAAAGGGGGGTCAGCCAAAATTGCAAATACGAAGTTAGTGCATCAAAAATACTTTCTACGAAGTTCTACGAAGGTTTCTGGGATTTTGTTGCGGTCAGTTTTCCTGCTGGCCCACGATGTTAGTAGAATAGTTTTTTGCAAAACTTTTTCTGTGCACTGCCCTTCCGTTTGCCTCTGAACAATGCTTACGCACCTCCAAAGCGCGCGCAACAAGCTGACACCAGCGCCGGCACCCTGTCTTGACAATGCGCATTGCCAGCTGACAACACCGGCAGCGGTACCAGCACCCAACCAGCACCGCCGCGCGTGCGCAGCCAGCTCACAGCACCAGCGTCAGCACCCAGGACCGCAACACCAGCACCAGCACCGACACCCTCTCGAAAGCGCGTGCGGCCAACTCATTCTATTTGAAGAAAGAGCCCCATAGCTATTGCTATCTGGTGAATAACAACCATATGATCTTGCGCGTATAAGTTTATCTGCGCAAAAATATGCGCGCAAACAACAAAGCCCGTAGGTTTTACTCGCCCCCTTGAAGTGCAGATTTTGTGGCAGGTGCAGCATTTGGTGAACCTCGAAGTGCAGATTTCCTGGCAGGCGCAGCACTTGGTGAACCTCTATGTGCAGATTTCGTGGCAGGCACAGCACTTGGTGAAAATTGAAGTGCAGATTTTGTGACAGGTACAGCACTTTGTGAACCTCGAAGTGCAGATTTCGTGGCGGGCGCAGCGCTTGGTGAACCTCGAAGTGCAGATTTCGTCGCAGGCACAGCACTTGGTGGACCTCGAAGTGCAGATTTCGTGGCAGGCGCAGCACTTGGTGAACCTCGAAGTGCTGATTTCGTGGCAGGTGCAGCGCTTGGTGAACCTCGAAGTGCAAATTTCATGGCAGGCACAGCACTTGGTGAACCTCGATGTGCAGATTTTGTGGCAGGCACAGCACTTTGTGAACCTCGTGGCAGGCACAGCGCGTGGTGAACCTCGAAGTGCAGATTTCGTGGCAGGCGCAGCAGTTGGTGAACCTCGAAGTGCTCTCAGCTCACTCTCTCACTCTCCCACTCTCACTCTCCTACTTTCACTCACACTCACACTCCCTCACACTCTCACTCTTCCACTTTCACTCACACTCCCTCACACTCTCACTCTCACGCACACTTACTCTCACCCACACTCACTCTCACCCACACTCGCACTCACCCACACTCGCACTCACACTCACTCTCGCACTCCACTCACACTCACTCTCACTCTCACTCACACTCACTCTCACCCACTCACTCACACTCACTTCACTCACTCTCGCTCACTTACACTCACACTCACACTCACTGTCACTCTCACTCACACCCACTCACTCACACTCACTTCACTCACTCTCGCTCACTTACACTCACACTCACACTCACTGTCACTCTCACTCACACTCGCTCTCACTCACACTCGCACTCACACTCACTCTCCCACTCTCACTCACATTCACACTCGCTCTCACCCACACTCACTCACACCCACCTTCACTTCATCACCACCATGCCATCACCTCTCTGGACCCCAATGCATCTAGATCTCTAGACTTCCTGCTTACAGACCTCACACACACACACACACTGTTTGGGGTCTCTTGCCGGGATATATATATATATATATGTGTATATTTATTTATTTTTTACCGTTTTTGACGGGAGGGCGCCCCTTTTTCTTCTACCATATCCACGGTAATAACGGTAAAAGTCGAAACTTTTCTTTGTTTACCGTTTTTACCGGGGGTGCGCCCCCTTTTCAATACCATGTCCGCGGTAAAAAACGGCAAAAATTGACGCGGCCGCGGCCGGGGTGGTGCGGGCGTCGTGCTCGATGCTCCGGAAGACCTTGGTGCTGCCGGGGTGCAGGTGGCGCTACAGAAGCTGGTGCCACCTGTGGTGGGTGCTCTGCCTGGGATGCTGCATCTGGCGCTGGGGGTGCTGGCGTTGTAGCCTGTGCTTCACCACGAGCTGGAGCGTGTAGCACCTGCATGGCCTCTCGCTCCATTTGCGCTGACAGTGCATGTGACCGCCCAACCCTACGAACCAAGTCCTCCCAGCTTTCTTCCCCCTGAGACAGCACGGTTGGCTGAGACAGACTTGGTGCTGCTTCTTTTGCCTTGCGGGCTAAGTCTCAGCAGAAGCTGGGGTTGGATGAGGAATGGCCCCCGAAACTGGTACTGAAGGATTCCCCAAGTTGGGTCTGCCTGAGATTGCCGGGCATGCTGCTGAGGCCGACGACGTCGCTGCAGGCGAATTCGGAGCTGATCTCGTGGGGCCCCCAGGTGATGGTGAAATTGCTGGGGATTCCGGCCAAGACGGCGCCGACTACTCCACTGAACCAGTAGCTGATCAACCAGGCGATGGGCGTGGCGATGCCTTCGTACTCGAAGAATTCCACGGTGTCGAAGACGGTGCCGTTGTAGAATCCACGGGCGCTCTGGCGTTCACTGCAGCAGTTGGCGCCGTAGAGGACCCGGGCGGCGTCGCTCGCACCGGCGCTGCAGCTGCTAAAAAGTGCTATTGCAGGGCTGTGGGGGGATTAATTGGGGCTCAAAAACAGCTGGCCCCATACGGGCGGCTTGTAATTCTGCATCGGCCCACATTCGATCGAGGTCTGTGCCACAAGGCCGCTTGCCGTTCAGCAATTCTTCTAACTCCTTTTGTTTATGCGCCACGAGCGTGTGAGCATTGTCCATCACCTTGCGTAGGATCCGCTCGGCTTTTTTCAAATCAGCTTCGCTGATACTTAAGGGTTCCATCAATTTTCTCGACAACGTCGTCATAATGGACCACGGCCTCTGTAGCCAGAGCGGCTAAGGTCGAAACCTCTCTGAAACGCTGAACCTGATGAGCCATGAGTAACTATGACTCTGACTGACTGCGCGCCTTGTTGCCGCTTGAGCCTAATAATTATAAGTCTCGTCTCATCTCGAAGCTACGGTAACAACGACAAAAAAACCATGCTAAGCTGGTCTGCTGTTGCGCTGTTGCTTTTATCTCGCCAGCGTGTGTTTCCTGCCTGGCCTGGCCTGTCCGTCACTGGTTTCGCTATGACAACTGACAGCGTTTCCTGACAAACAGACCATGACAAACAGTCTGCCGCGCATCATTAATTTTTATTCTGACTGGCCGGCTTCCTGATGGAAGAACGCCGATTTGGTTTCGGCTTATTTGGCTTTGCCTTTGCCCGTCGACGACGAGGATTTGCCGCTGCAACGTTTGTCAGCCATTTCTGCGGCACGAGCCTCAAAGCCACCATCTCCCCTTCATATTTAGGACCCAAACCGTGGTAGATAGCCACAGCTGCTGTTGGGCATCCTGAAATGCAGGCTTCCACACCATTGTCTTCCAACATTGCTTGGGCAGTCGGGTATGTGTCACTCCTGCACCAGTGAAAGGCTATCGTGCACCCGCAGGTGATCTTCGAAAGTTGCTGGCTTGAAGCCGGCCGGCCCTCGATCGTCTTCAAGCCCTGGAAGATCTGGCGGGCAAATTTCTTTGACATGGGAAGGCTTACGGAAGGCAACGCCGGCGCTGCAGCTGCTGAGGACGCAGTGCCTGTGGGAGACGAAGCACCTAATGTGGCTTCTGGGACCACCGTTGATGCTGCAGCTGACGCCATTCTCGCCGACGTCGCTGCGGGGGTACGCCGGACGCGATGAGTTCTAAGCGGGACGAGCTCGCACATCCTCTGCTCCTTAGCAGACCTGTGCCAAGTCGCGAGCGCCCATAGACCATGACACACCAATGCCACACCGTCTCTTCCCACCCAGGTGGAGTTCGATCCAAACCCTTCTCCACTCCGCGTAAAACCACCCCGCTTCTCTTCGCCACGTCACGGTGAAGATCTTCACCACCGCCGTGGAACCCACCTGAGACCGGCGGGTTGGCTTTGGGGGTTTCTCCCTGAACCTGAGGAGGGTTTCCCTCGCATTTCTGGCGCATCCGTGGTGATACATCCGATGGTGCAAGAATACGATTGATTCAGCTACACGGTACGTGAGGGACTGTCGGTTTCATTCTTTGGGGGAGTCCGTTCTTGCTCGGTTTGACGGGCAGCCCCACACCTGGGTGTTTGAGCAACGACTCTGGTGCCTCTGGTGCTTATCTTATTGACATCCTCATGAACACACATATATGTCACAATTGTGGAAAAACACCGGTGAGATCTGAGGCTCAAGAGACTAGCCATACTTGTAAGTCCCAAGAGTCTGGTGCGGCCTGTCGTTCTGACTTTGGACCGAAAACACAGAGTCGAAACATGCCAGTTGGAGGGAACATGCTCTCTTCACCTACGGATGTTCCCAAGCTTTCTGGTTCCGACTTTGGAGCACCGGAACAAAGGAAACACAAAAGGGACCCCAAACCCAAAATCCGAAGGCACTCCCGTGTTCCATATGGATGAAGAACTCTTCCACACTCCTGTTGCGTGCCCTTGTGATGTTCCTTCTTTTTTTGCCGAAAAAAAACCACGCTTCGGTTCACCCTGGTGGACCACCAGGCGGACGGACTCGGCGTCAATCGGGGCTCCGTGCCGCCAGGAGGGTGGTCGGCGTACTGATGCCCTGCCGGTGGACGCGGAGAGGCTGCCGGGTGGTGACACCCTGAAGAAAAACGGGTCCCTTAAAGAAAAACGTCTGAAAGGACAAAAAGGAGAGGAACATGGGCGTTCCCATGGTCAGTTCCCACGACAGAAAGCCGGAGGGGTGCGTTGGATGGGGCGTCTCTCCCTCTCACCGAGCTGGACGAAATCGAGTCGATCAAATGGCTCCCCTCGGCACAGGATCTTCTCAGGATCTAAGACATCCCCGTGGGAAGCAGGCCGAAATTGTGGTATGTCTCAACTATGTTTGCCTGGACAAAAATAAAGGTGAACCGAACTTTCCACCTATTGCACCATCAGATTCAATCTGTACAGCGAGAGATTGTCGACCCTGAACTGGATCAAAGGTCAAGTTGAACAAGAAAAGGGTGAGAGCACCCACCCAACGAGAGTTGGCATCTGTCAAGCACAATTGGGAGGCGGCCACCTGTTGGATTTTGGGAAAAAAACACTACCCAGGAAAGGTTAGAGGTGACCCTCTGACAGGGTAGGGGTCTATCTGGGGATCAGGGACTAAAACAAGAACATGAAGGCCATGTTTACCAACTCCGGCCATGTTCTTCAACTGGCTCCAGGTGAAAATCAGCAACCCGGGTGGGGATCTGATGAATTCCAATCCCGAGATTCTGGAACCAACATGATCTTGCTCACCACTCACCTACTTCTGGGTCAATTCCAAAATGATTGCTCGAGACGGATGGTCCTCCATTTAGCCAACATCTTCTTGGTCTCGCAGTAGGAATGATGTGAAGGCAACGCATCCCTTAAGAAACCGTGTGTTGGACGCCATGCCGCTGCTACAACCTAAATCATCTACTTTCGGCTCTAGGTCCGACACTAGTGCAATGTGCATTCTCTTCGAGACCGCTGGGGATATTACAATGTCATACAATACCGTACCCTTGGAGAATCCAAAGACCCCAGTGAACAGCACCGACCAGCCAAATGCTGAGGCTTGTTTTCGCATGGACTTGGCGTCGAATCCAGTTACTGCGGATCCATGGAACACGCTGGTTCCGAAGACTAAACCAGACTTAGACACTCTGGTAACCTTATACCGACTTATACCCTAGAAAGTCCAAAGACGATTGTTGGCGTTGAAGTAAAGGACACTCCTTTTCCGGGTCACCCTAAAGACTATTTTCGAAACATCAGTCTTGGAGTTCCACTGTATAGTATTAAACCGGATCATAAATCACTGAAATCCACTGAGTAGGAAGACTCACAGCGTGGGATCAACCGCCCCGTTCTGACGCCCCGGGCCGCGAGGCAACCGAATTGCTCCTCCAAACGACCGGAGCGCAGCGCCACGACCGGAACGGTCTCCCATCCGGTCACACTTGAGCCACTGAGTGAACATGGGAAACAAAGATTCAGACCGCCTCTCAAGGGGGAATATCTTGGAAAGACCCCAAGGGACCGGAGCACCCTTCTTCGACCGTGGGACCAAGTAGGCGACCGAATAGGCTCTCCGTTTTGGGGGGGCCCCGGAGGTCTCGAATTTGGGGGTTCTGGACTCGTCAGGGTGGATCCAAACCTCGAAAGAGGTCGGTATCGAGTTGATGACAACCAATTGAACAGAAGTAGGAACACTCCGGATGACTTTGAAGTCCATCCTACCTTTTTTGCGGTTCCAATTGAACATGAGAGACCAAAAAAGGTAGGATCAGAAGGAATCATCGCAGAAAAGACCACGGAACTCAAAGGCCAGAAGCACTTCCTTGTTCCTCCAAAAGAACCACACCTAGCACCCCCTTCGACCTGCTGTTCCACACACGTCGCCGTCTCTCCGCGGACCCGGGAGCCTTGATGACCTCCGAGCCCAAGAGTTCCAACGTCTTGGCTTTAAAGACCTCGCGGAACGGCTCGCCATGGGGAGACGAAGAGAGAAACACATGGCCTGGCCCGTTCTGTTCGCACCGTCGGTTTCGATGCAGAACATAAGCATGAGGCGCGGTTCGAGAGTTCGAGCATCCTCCTCTTCCATGATTCTTGTTTCTTCCATGTGCCCAAGATAGATGCGCAGAACCTTGGATGATGTCAGGTGGCTCAATGAATGACTGGCATCATTGAAATTCCGACCTCACCATTTGCTGAACAGTTCTAGCATGTTTGCCAGGCAGCGAGCCGGCGGAAACTTGTCTGGATGATGGTTCTATCATGAAAGTGGTCCCAAACCAACACCAACACCTCACCCGTCCCTCGGTCTCCTTGGGCGCTTCCAAGGCCATGGACACCCCTCCACGACGCAGCTTCCACTGCGGTTCGGCTCGACAGGGTTCACCCTGGATGTTCTCGTTCCACCAAGGCCATGAGGCCATGGACTTTCAGACAACCGTTCGTTCTCCAAAAAACCCATTTTGTGGAACCAAAGGGTTTCTTCAACCATCTTGCCCCCACTCACAGATCGGGAGACTCGTAGATCCACCCTCGCGGCGGTCTCCGGTCTCGTTTTCGAGGGTACGTTCGATGCGTCGGTTCTTCAAGTCCAACTGTCCGTTCTTCGTCTCCTCTTCTGTTCCTCCTTTTTCAAAGTGGGCAACATCGCTCTTAGGTTGGAAGCCATTGCTAGTAGGTTGGATGATGGCCATCTCTTTTGTTGAAACAAAGAACAAAGGAAACGAAGAATGCCTTGAAAAAAACATGGGACCGTCCACCTTTCCACCACGAAGACCGAGACGGATGCGCCAAGACACGTTGAGCTGTCGATCCGCGTCGCCGCAGTAGACATACTCGCCGCAAGGGGAGAAGGAGACCTTGTGGGTTTTGGGCGTTTGGAGCGCAGCACTTCCACGGGAAACCAGAGTGTTTTGGACACCAACCTTAGGGGATGAGTACTGTGAAGCCTATCCTACTGGAACTGAAGCCCTGCAAAACTAACACGTGCTCGGCTGAGCAAACGTAGTTTGTGGAGGAAATAATGAAACTGCCAACCATTCCCACTAACTATATTCCACAAAAACCATGCCTGTCTTCCCCCAAATGCCATGGCTTTAGGGTTTCTGCCAACGGCGAGGTGAAACAGTTGCAGCTGCGAGATTTTCCCGTGAGTTCTTTCTGGCAAAACAGAGGCTGGCCATGGTAGCCGTGGCCGCGCCGTCTGCCCTGCACAGCCTTGTGCGGGCCTCATCCTGGTTTGTGTGTCCTGCTTGGCTGCGCTGTGGGCCCTGTCGAGGCTTTTGCAGCTTCATGAATGGTCTTCAGGGTCTCCCATACCATGTGGAGTTGGTAGATGTTGGTAGATTCTGCTAACCCTTTTGCTTTTGCAAACATTTGTTTTCAGGTGTTGGGGTTGAACCCCCGAACGCAAGTGGCCTCCCCTCGTCTCCCCCACCGGTCTGTCCGCCCCACACAAACAATCTCGCTCTCCAGGTGGACGTCCGTTGCCCGGGTGAGGCCTGGGGCGGAGGCCACGGCCGGCGCATGGGGTATGGAGCACGGAGAACGAAGAAGAGCGCTGTTGATCTGTTTGGTTTTAGAGGCCATTCTTTAAACACAAGTGTTGTTATTGATTCTTTATGAGTGTTGCGTGTTCTACTGCGTGTTCTTTCTTCCCAAGTAGGCACCAAGCACTGGGACTCCCTTTTTTCACAGGCATTTTGTAGTCACTGCGGAGAATCTTGACCTTTCATGGCCCACCGGATAGCCAAATGTCTTCCTTCAACATCTGAAAAGAATTGGATTTAGGTGTGGGCGTCCAGGTCAGGTGATTTGGTGCCGGTGCAAGACAAGGGTAGAAGTCAAAACAATCGCCCATAAAAGCTGAACATCCGACAATGACGATCCGACAGTCGAACCATGACCCAACTTGCAAGCCATTGGCCAGTCAGGACATGCGCAACCCAATTCCATGAACACTTCCGTAAAGAGACCAATGGATAGCACATGCGTGATTTTGGATACACTGAGACACACCTTCTTTCCACCAACCAGCCAACAAGGTTTACACAAAACTCTTGCATCTTCAAAAAGAAGCCAAGTTGAAACGTCTCCTAGACTCCTGGTGCTCCTAGTTCTTCCTTTCGACCGTCTCGTTGGCCGCTGTTTGAACAATCATGCGGGTTTATAGCCACCTGGATCACCAAAGGATTCCTGGTAGGATCGGAACCTGCACTGCGAGAGAAGTGCCTGGTGGAATGCTTGTGGATGCATCTAACCCGGCTTGGCCTAGGAAGTTGGTTGCTTAGATTTAGATGGGTCTCTCGAATCCTTAAACCAACTTGTCTTCTCCACGAATACTTCCTAAGAATTGACCGTTTCTGCTACTCTCCCGTCTAAACCACCAAATGGTTGCAGTTCGACCAAATCTTTGGTGTTCAGCAAACTTATACTGACCGTTCGGCCTCATTGAAGTGGGAGCTTGGGGAGCCCTTTGCAATTGGTGGCTCATGTTCTTTAAATCTCTATCTTTCCCATCAAAACACACAGAAACACACACACACACATACAACCCTCGCAATGCTTCAGTTCAACAGCTTCGAATCGCCGTTCTTCCGATAAAGGACCTTCGTCCCGTCCCGTCCCGTTCGGTTCACCCCCCCACCGGATCGCACCTTCGACGTCCCAGAGCGCCAGGTGCTGGTCGTAGCCACCGGCCACCAGGGAGGAGCCGAAGAAGGAAAGGCTGCAAACCTGGAGGCGTCGTCACCACGGTGGCGCCGGTCGTCACCAGCTCAGGACGTGAGGAGGAGGAGGAGGAGGAGTTGACTTCCCAAAATTTTTAGAGCTGGACCGGACATGGAATATGGAAAGCGCTCTTCTTCTTTTTTTTGTTGTCACTTGTGGAATTTAGGGCTTTTGACCCCGGTGTGAGAGAGAGTTCATCAATTCATCAGCAAACCGTCCACGTTGATGACTTTTGGGCCTTCAGGGCGTGGCGTTCTTCCCAGTCTACGGCTCAAGCGCCACACGAGCGTGGGTGGGTCCGCCGCACATGTAAAGTGCCTTCCGTGGCCTTCCATTCCAGGGAATGACCAAGTGAAGCACGGACTCTCCTTCTTCCACCGGCTGCTTGATCCATTGGAGATGAAAGGAAACTCGGAACGTTTCAATTGCAATCTCAAACACTTCGTCTCGAACCTTTACTCTCAGTTGGTGCCAGGTGCAGCACGACTTGTCGATCTGCTAGCGATCTTCACCACACCAACAAATTCGAGGTTGTAAGTGGTATGGGTTTCAATCGCACGACCCTTCTTTCTTGTGCTACCCACTTCGTGTGCTACCCACACGACCCCCCGTAGCCAAAAGATCGCCCGAGTCTCCAAGCTGATGAGGAAGCTCTGAGTCTCCAAGTCACCAACCGGTGGAAGAACTGGTGGAAGACTTTCCATTGGGACCACTATCCATTCATCCTGATCTATAGGACCACACCCTGATGATGAAGAACCCACGGCACACTTCCCATGGCGACACTCTCATTTAACTCTCTGTTCTTGAGTATTTTTTTGGGGTTCGGATCCAGATCTAAGCTGCCCTTTGACCGAAATGGGAGGTGATGCTCCCAGCCCCCACTTGGACCAACTCGACCGGGGGGCCTCATCCGCATGCTTCAGCTTGATCGGCACACCCTCCGGACCTGGAGCCCGCGTGCGCCGCAACGCGCTCTGTTGGACCCTCCCTGAGGTTAAGAGCCAAGCAGAGATGCCCTGGTGGCACGTTTAGTGGCATTCGGAATGCATCATTTTTCTTAGGTCTGATCTGCTTTGGGGTCTTTTTGGGAGATCGTGGCACGACTCTGCAGGCAGGCATGCACCGGCAGGTGCTCGGCCTCCAGCGTAGGAACCCCAAAATCTGGTGTTTCGGTTTCTCACGTGGAAGGAGTTGGAGTGATGCAGCAGAACTCCGAATGAAGAGCCAAAAGAGTTCACGCTGCTACCCTGCACTTTGCCTGAGTGACGTACTTTGCACAAATGCAGGATATGGACATACCCATTGCCTTCACCATCGTATCGCCAGGCTTAGCCTGAAAAACGCGACCGTGCGATAAACCTTTACTAAACACCCTCCGGGTCGCCGTTGGAGATCAAGTTCACAGTGGTAGTAATCCAAGTCATGCAAACAAGTGAATTTGCTGGTCAAGCCCAGGTGGAAGATGGTGAGAACAGCTTTTTCGACGCACCGCAGAGGTTCCCCACCTGCCGCGGGATCTGAAGTCATAGAGATGCGTTTCTTGAGGGAGCAAACATGTTCCGTAAGCAATGGAAAACCGACGCCAAACGGATCAGTAGACGCTCAAACCGCGAAACATCGCGGAACTTCTGCCCAACTCTTGGGCCTGTGGATCCGCAAACCCTCATAAATGGTGTAATTCATAGATGGATATAGAATGAGTTGATGAACTTCAAGATCTTTCCAGTAAAACTCCTGTTCTAGTTGCGGGTGGTGCTTTCCTTCTCCTTTGCGCACTTCAGGGTCTTTCAGTTTCACCGCATGCTGGGGCTCTCCGACGCTTGGTGATCTGGATCTTGCTCCTCAGTCCAAGTCACCGAGCATCGTGATCGGTTCTTTTCCTCCATGGCGACACTGCGTGGGGATGTGTCCTGTTTGAAACCGTGAACCTTGTCTGTTCCACTTGCATGGACATGACCTAGTGATATGCAAGGGTCCCCAAACTGCTACTCCACCTGATTAGTTTGAAAGCAAGTGGAAACTGGCCATGAACACATCCTCTTGCAGCAAAAAACTACTCGCGCATCCCTCCGCCCAACAGGTCTTGGCTCTGAGTTGGCGAGGTTGGCTCTCACAAGAACCAAACCCGATAAGGCCGATGTTGGTGTTTGATGATCACCCCCAACCTGAGGATGATGATGGCTTGATATTTTGACATAGAAACACCCAAAAGATAGAACCCCCAAATAGCCCCCTGGATTTTTTTTGATGATGGCTTAATTCTTAGATTTCTTGAGCAACCAAAATAACCACCAAATATCACCCGGTTTTGTTGATGATGGCTTGATATCTAGGATAACTTATGATGGTTTGACTCTCGAAATAACCTCCGTTGCGTTTGATGATGGTTACGGTGACCAACGGCTGATCGATGGCTTTCCCTCCACTCCTTCGTTCGGAGTTTGCAGCACACGACAAACACCCACGAACGGTTTCACCAATGTGGGGCATCCGAAGAAAGGGGTGAAGTAATTCAGACCTCTTTCAAAACCTTAGCAATTCATTTCTTGTCCATCACCAGCACAACAAGACATGTGCCATCGCAGCATTGATTTTGGCAACTTTTCTTAGCCCCATGACCCCATCTTCGGATCATTTTGTTAGCTTCCTGATTCTTTTGCGTCTCTTTCCATCCCAAAAGCACCCCAAAAACCACACCCACCAGGGCCCCAAACACCTTCTCTCCGCGTCCGCACCCGGAAAAAAGAAAGGAGCGACCTCCTCCACCGACTGGGTCTCCCAGACTGGATGGCCGGATCAAGGCCCAGATCCCGCGCCAGCAGCATGCGCTTCCGCAAGGCCGCCGCCTCCGGGTCCTGGCGCCGTGTTTTTAGCAGCATCCGCTTCGGAGCGGGAGCAGTATTTCGGGAGACCGTGGCAGAAGTGGGGGAGTGTTTTTTTTTGGGGGGGGGACGCCAGGAGGAATCCCATCAGGAGCGATGAATTGCATGTTTTCCTCAACAAGGCCCAACAAGGCTCAACAACTCCTGTTGTTTTTTGGGTTTGAGCAGGTCAGCATCGAGATGAATCACAGCAAGTCAGTTGGAGACCTTGCTCAACTCAGCATGGATCTGTTTCATCCCTTTCCCCCAGAAGCTGGATAATCGAAGGCCACCCCAGCACCTTGGCTCGCAGTCAAAAACGAGATCATCTGTTGTATCACTCTCAAACCGAATGGCTACATCATCCGCCCAGATTGGGATTGATGGCAGACCAAGCATCTTTTGCTCCCAAACCATTTTCCGTATAGAAACCCAAATGATTTACCTTTGAGTGGACCCAAAACGGCTGAAGGAAGTGCATCCGTGATTTCTTCTTAAGCTTGGAATCTTACTGCCATCAACGACCCGTCTGGGAGGATGTTTCTGAGTTATAATGGACATCATGACATAGATGCAGATGACTGCTCACAGCATACTCCGGTGGATATTTTTGCAACACATGTTCCAACATCTTGTTGTTACCTTGTGATTTCTTGCGGTGTGCGTAACCGTCATGGAGCTCGGACACCACACGGGCAAGGGCATTCATTGAACCCGTCCTCAAGCGCTCAAGTCGAAAAAAGACCATGATTCACATGGAGTCTCCGATGGTTTTTCTTCTGTCTTGGACACCAAAAATCAGATCAAGCGCTCAAAGTTGAAAGACACTTCAAACCTTGGATCAACTCGGAGAACCTCAATGAAACCGTCCAATTGGGACCTCTTGCGCCCTATCCAGGTGGCCGAAGAAGCAGTGGCAACCACTCACTTGGGCCCCACGTGGGTCTCGGCCTCGTCCTTCTCACCGGGCGTGGTACATCTCGAGCCGCCGCCCTGGAGTCTTGGTCCATTTGCATTCGACCAGACAGAACGCTTCGGTTGTAGAGGGAAAGAAGCCGTTCTATCTTCCAGTCTGGAGAGCACGCCATCAGTTCCTTTTTATATGTGGATCTCAAACACCGACGGGGGTGTTATTGTGCTGGGTAATTGCTCTGGATGTGAGATCCTTGGGAAATGGCTGTCCGGCGTGCGAAGAAAACACTTCCTCCCCAAAGCTTCGGAGGCCGGGCTGAAGGTTTTGATGCCTTTTGCAGGAAGAAACACGTTACTTTTTGCCATGACCAAAGGCCGAAATAGGTTGATTTAGTGGTTGTAACGGGCGGATTTCCCATATGGATTTTTGGTTTTAACGGGTGGACTTCCTTTAAAAGGGTATTTTCTAAAGACGTTTGTCAAAAACTGTTTTTTGCTGGCACCATTGGCACGGACGAACGTGGATGAACCGAATGCCACCGCAACTGTGGTGGCCGTCCTTTGGTGTATCAAAGACTGAGCAACCCCCAACAAACCGTAAGACAATTAGATGTGGAGGGGTCTTCCCACAGCAATTCTCCATGTTCGAGTGCATTAAAAACACACCCCGCTATGTTTGTTGTGTACTTGGCACAAAGAACTGATGGGTTTTGCAGGCCTTTCTTGTGGGTCTCCACTTAGATTAGGCCTGCGCTTAAACGACGTCACCTGGTGTGCGGATGAGGGCGATTTCATTCTACAAAAGAGCTAAAACACCTGCTTGCTCCGCTCAAAGCTCGTGGTTCAAATCAGCCAGATATCCTTGTCGGCAGAACCATGTAGATCACAACCCTTGCCAAAACTCAGAGTGGCATCTCAACAAAAACCATCATTTGATTGGACAAATCCCAGGAACTGCTACTCTTCCAGTTGTTTGATCTCCTTCCTCTTCGAAGTTCAGGGTCCTCACGTCACACCCCTCGCAACCCACCCCAGCGCCCCCCCCGGTGCGGCGGTGCCTGTGACGTGTCGGTGACGGAGATCCGCGGCTTCAGCAGCCACGGCGGCTGTTGCAACAGGTCACCTGGCCGGTCGGAGTTACCGGCTCGGCCGGTGGGTTGATGGGAAAATGATGGGAGGACCTATAAGAGGATGGGGGATGATGGGTCTCTGAAAAAACTGAAAGCCAAGTCGTTTTTGGTCGGCGAATGCGTAGCGAAAGTGTCTCGTTTCTCTCTGGGGGTTCTGGGGGAGGGGGCGCTGTTCGCGCTGCGTTGCTTCCGTGTTCGTGAGCGGTGCCAACGGTCCGCAACCGTTGGAATGGGATCCCTGCGGCAGGCCGAAGGGGGAGGAAGTCTCAGATTCGAATGAAATAGCGTGGAAACGAAACATGTGGACGTGTGGAGGATGTTGTTTCTGCGTGCGTGAGATCCTCAGTCCATCTACCCTGCCTGCTACAGTTACCTCATCGAAGGTGATGCGGCGGAGCCAAGGCAACAACACGCCCATCAACACGGGTGCACGATGGACGCCAGCCTGGCAATGCACAAGCACATTGAAGCCCCCTGCCAATGTAGCAATGACAGCCTGCGTCACCTCCTGGAGCGATTGGTCTCGCTTGGCCCCTTGATAGGAAACGGGGCAAGCCAGCTGGAAGAAGTCGCGGTGAGTAACACCCCCAGGGAAGTCGTGAGCAACCTTGTCCAGGCTTGGTGACAGCAGGCATGTTGACGATGAATGGTGCCCACTTCAGCTCTTGTCATTGCCATTGCCATGTGCTTTTGACGGCTCCGGCTCCAAGCGAGACTGAGACTGAGACTCCTGCGAATGCTGCGATAATGCATTTGATGTGATGTGTAGAAGCATTGCGCCCAACACTTCTACGTGCATGGCGTTGCCTGCCTGCCCAATCCGCGCTATGCGTTCTTTGTCTGGTTGAACTTCGCTGCTGTCCATTGATGCGAGTGCCTCAAAATCTTCTGCAAACCTCATATGCCATCCCATAAGAAAGATCATTGTGGGCCGGAAGGCCTTGGCACAAAAAGAGCTTCACAGGATGTGAGCCATTGTTGATGCACGTCTGACCTCAGTCAGTTTCCTTTGCTGTGCAGTTGGGATTGGCTCGCAGGGTGGTCTGTTGGAGGTGTTGGATATCGCTATGACATTGGGATTCGGTTTTCAGGCCGCTGCTGCCGCACTGGTGCTGGTCCAGGGAGCGCATCATGTCATGCCCAGAATGACAGCGAGGGATAACATCATGTCAACCCCAGGGATGACATCATGTCATGCCAGGAGTGACATGCTGTCATATTGTTGACAACATGTTGTGCAGCAGTGATCATAATGTCGTCTGGGCAGCTTTGGCTGGTCCTTGCCGATCTTGCAGGGTTGGGCAAGCGTGGCATTCAGCTGATAGATGTTGCGCATATTGGTGGACTGGTCTGATGTTGCGTGCTGCGGTGACAGCCGTCCGTGGCGTGTCCTTTAAACCTATACCCCGGCTATCTGGGGTTTATGCCAGTATGCCAGTGTAACTTTCATTTCTAGCGCAGAGTTTTTTACCACCTAGAAGAGCATGGAGGTTTTTGACATGGACACTCGCTGACATTTGCGTTGAAATTATTCGCGTGCAACACGGATGTCGAAACAAGGATTTCCAAAGCAACTTCAAAACTTCGACGTGCTCTGGCAATGCTGAAAACACCGCTTGCAAGCAAAGGGTATTGGCCGGAAGCTCTCCGATGACCATCAACTTGCCTACTTCCAACAACAACGCGTACGCCAAAGTTGGGACATGGACACTCGTTGACGGTCAGAACTGTAAATGGGTGGGGTGGGGCGGGGTGGGGCCAACATCCACTCCTTGACGTCTACATCCCTTCGGTCTCGTTCCATCGTAATCTCGCTGCGCCGAGTCGTTTTTTCTCGGCCATGGGTGGCCGAGTCGTTTGGTGGGCGCGCTCGGTTTGTCGTTTGAGTTGTTGCGAGTAGGCAAGTTTGCGGACATCGGAGAGCTTCCGGCCAATCTAAAGAATAGGTGTTTGGTGGATGTGTTTTACGTGGATCGAATTGTTTGTGCAAATTTGTTCCGGAGACCCTTTGGTGGCAAGCAACCCTTTGTGCAGGTGGTGCTTGACGAGGATCGTTGGCCTGAGATGTTTGCAGCGTGGTAAGAGCAGATAGAAGAGCTTTTAAAGGTATTGGGAAAGCCATTGGCCCAATTACCTTACAGCGGTGTGGCTTAGGCGACCGCCCGTCAGAGATAAAGGTATTGGAAACATTTCAAACTCGACTTTTGAGCTAGCGCCTTGGCAAACAGATGGTGCCTGGGTAGACGCAATCATGCAACCAACTCCTACCTACCACAGCTAGCGCCTTGGCAGGCCCAATGATGCAATCAATTCTTACGTACTGTCACTAGCGCCAGGGTAGACTTAGATGCATCTCTGTCCTGCGTGTGCGTGACCAGGAGATGCAACAGCGTCAAACTCACCCAGGGATTCCACCTGGTATGATGCAAATGTATTCGAGGACAGTTTCCACGCCAAATCTTCAAACTCTATCTCTTTCCTGGCAGTAGGCGCCATTGTGGGCAACAGGGCTTGAAGGGTGTCCGCATTGAAGCCCCGGTACGATCCGCCCAGGCGACCGGCCAATTTCCGCCAGTCCCGGGGTTGAGTCGAAGCCAGCAAAGCAAACTCTTGCGTGAAGAAGTCGGCAACATCTCGACCACAAACTGTATCGCAGTGCCAGATGTTTCGAACGAATCCGGGCAACAAACCTCTGATCAAGCGTTTCTCCTGACGCCTGCTGAGAGCGTCATATGATATGGTACAGTTGCCGCAACGCATCACTCACATCATTGAAAGGGCTTTTTGCCAATTCCACTGCCGTGTCTACTTCAAAGTGCTTCTAACGTAATCACCGCTCCGAACATCCATTATTGAATTCCACAAACAAACATTCTACCTCTCACAGCAAAAAGGAGACAGCGACCACAGCTGCAATAAACCCCTTCATTCAAAGGAGTCGAAAGGGTTGGAGAAAGGGTCGAACATGGACGTTTTTAGAATGGAAGGCTGAGTGAAATGGTGCAACATTTGGATTGACCAGCCATTTCTTCGAGATAGTATGTGATTTGCCTTCTAATGTCTTCTACCTTCTTTTTTTGAAGGGTAATATTTTTCCAGCACCTGGGAAGAAGTCCTCATTTTTGTTCACAAAGAACTCTATAAGATGCAGCTTCCTTCACATCTCGTCAACTTCCTTCGAACATCAAGCGCCGGCTCGTGCCTTCGCCCGGATGGATTGGAATGTATGCCTCGGCTGGACCGTGATAGCGAGGCGCTGAATGCGATGCGATGGATGCTTCATCACAGGCGACGAAGAAGGTCGGTACAGTTCCCTTCAGGAAAGCACATAAATTCTAGTTGTAAAAGGTGGAAATGCCTTGTGGATCTGCTTCTTTGGTGCGCGCAGATCAACAAACAACCGTCATTCATGCCCCTGCATCTGCATATTTCTCTGTCACGGGGGTCGGGTCGGTACCGTTGAATGACTATATCTTGAAGATGGTCAAAGGGCAAACAATATGAATGAACTACTACGTCGCCAATATGTGCCGATGCAAGATGAAGTATCAGAACCACAAATACATGCAGAAGCCTGAGACATTGCTTTTTTCCAAAGGATTCTGTGTATGGATGGGTGCGCTAGAGTGATTGGCTTTGGGCTCTTCAACATGTTCACCACAATAAGGGGGTCGTGGCACTCTTCATCAGTGCCTCAGATCTTCATAAGCTTTACCAACTGCCGAACCCAATGTGACAATGGAGTTCGTGATCAACATCAGCCCGCAGCAAACCAACCTGATGCGGCCCATAGCCGAAGGAAAACATGGTCACAACCTTCACCGCCGAGTTATAGTTATCTTTGCATTGTACGGATCGCTAGAAACCCTTATAGTTCGATTCTCTAGAACCCATGTAGCATCATATCACCCCACCCAACCCGAACTCAGCCGCACACGGACTCATCGACGCTGCCTTCTCCCACCTGCGGTCCAAGCACTGTGCGGTGTGGGACGGACCGATTGCGCGAGACGTCTTGTTGTGTCGAGACGAAAGAAGAGACGTCTCAGTGTGCGATCGTCCATTGATTGATCAACAAACAAATGACGTCTTGTTTGAACTGCCTCTTTTTGACGATCAATTTGCGACAAACCTTTCAACTTCAAGTGGCAAGGGGCATCCAGTGGTGGCCTCGTGAGTAGGGCGGAAGCATACTTGGTGGAAGAACTGACCAAGAACCACTGGTCCATCTGTGGTAGAGGACATCTTCCTACTCCACGAGAACTGTAGAGGTGTTCATCACAGTCATGCCTGTACACCAGACCCTTTTGCACACATTTGACTTCCCACTTTTCTTCGGACAACTAACGGCATAACCAACTAACTCATGCCAGATTGGTTTTCAGCATCCAAACAACTCAAATCCCTTGGGCGCTCTTTGCGCGCTCCGATCCAGAACTGCTTGGCGCACCGGTCGCCCGGGCCTTGGTGTCGGAGGGCAGCGACTTGGACTTGCTCAAGCTCCGCCGGGCTTCCAGCCGCGCGGAGGAATCCTCGCCCCCTGGCGGAGAGGACCGGAGGACGGGAGCGGAAGGACGTCCATGGACTGAGAGAGAGGGCTAGGCTTTGGGTACAATTAACCCCCAGGTTCAAACGAAGAGGTTGAAGATACCAACATGGGCCTTAGGGGCTATCTATCTTGAACCAATGAATTAAGAAGCTACCAACATCTACCAACTGACCAGTGGGGCCAGTGGGGAAAAATACAAACCAGAGGCCACGGCGTTTTTCGTCACCGTGGCTTTGAGTCAAAAATGAAGTCCAAAACGCGAGTCACCCGGACGATTCAGGGAAAACCCGTGGCAAAAGGTGATGGGGTTACATGATGCACAGGCCTGTCGTATGACATCACAGGCCTGTCACACGGATGTTGTCTTGACTTCGAGTTGTCTTTCAGACTTCCAGGTGCCGACACTGAAGACAGGCCACCTTCATAAGTGGTGTCATCATAAGTGGTCATAGGTGCCTTGTTTGACCACTTATGTTTTGAATCAACACGACCCTCTCGACACTCGGTCTCTGTCATCAAACCCTGAACTGCAGATCTTGGACGACCACGGTGTCGAGTTCTCACCACGTGTCCACGTACGTGTCTACACGGTGGATCTTGACCGGGATCACCGTGGATCCCTTCTCGGACGAGTTCTCCAGCACGGAACCCGGAACCGGTGCCTTCACCTATCTAGGCCCTATCGTTCTTTCGGAACTGTGCCCCCCCCGGAGTGAGCCACACCTCTTGCGAAGGTGCCACGACTCTTGGCTTCTTAGGCTTCTTTCTCACAAGAAGACTCAGGTGAACCACTCTTCAGACTCTTCAACTCTTTCTTGTCAGTCTAACATACCTCCCCTCATCACGGATGTCGTCGATGAAGTGTCTGGTGCTCGAAGGCGTTTCTCCATTTGTTTGCCCGCCACACCGCCCAAAACGATCACCAGCGAATTTGAGATTCGCCACATCTTCCTCAACCTAAAATGAACGTCACATCTTGCCGAATGCATTGTGTGCTGAAACTGCAAAACCATCATATGTCCCCAAATAGTTCCCCCTGGTCGGAAGGTCTTCCCAGCGCTTCCTCACCATGCCCCAAAGATAGAAAACGAGGTTGCTAGAAAACCTCTTCTTCATGTCGGTGTTGTCATAATGAACTGGCGTCTTCTCACTGCTTGACAGTCATCCCTTCTTTCACCCCAACCGTTGCTGATAGCCGACCTTTACCACGTTTTCCCTGTTAAACGGGGCATTTTTACAAAATCAAGTTTGTTTTTGTTCGCACATTAACATCATTTTGCTGCTTGATTAAGCCTCCACAGCATGACTTTGCCTTCGGTTCAAGTATCAAAGATCTGCATTCCAACGACACGGCGAATGACCAGAAAACCCGGATGACCCCCCGATCACTTGCCCCTTCACCACTGCGCTGGGGAGCTCGGCCCAGCTCTAAGTTGGAGCAACTGCCGGTGCTCCTCATGCTGCGACTCACCTCAGCGGCGACCGGGGCACGCGGTGAAACGGAGCGGTGAAACGGCGGTGATTTGGTGCTTTCTTTTCTGTTGTGGTGGGGAATCCAGGTCTGAAAGAAATCAAGGGATCTTCAATACATGCCTGGTACATGGAACTGGTGAACACCAACGATGACAGGCTCTGCGAGGGCTATTCAGCTACCTCAAAAGCCATCGCTCTTCCACCTCGAGTGACCAGAACTTCACTCTGAGCGGCCTGTAGTCCCTCTTGAGCCGCCTGGCACCGCGGATTTGACCGGGGCGAAAGAGAAGTCTTGGGCCCATTGAGTGGGCCGGTGTCCCCAAAGAATTGGAACGCAAAAGGAGAATTCCCCGCACTTGTCACTATAGAATACCCACTGATTTCCGAACACCTAGTGGTTTGTGATACTGAACCTTGGTGGTTTTGGAAACCATTTATAGAAGGCATTCCTCTTCACATCACTATTATTGTTGCTTGGGGTGTGCAAAACTCAGTGCGGAGCACCCAAACTAAATCCACAAAAGGTTCGTTCATCGAGGAAGGTCTTTGAAGACATCTTTCGATGTTGGTGCCAAAACCCTTCGCCTCTTGGACGCTCCGCCACTTCCGCTCACTTCTTTTTCGCTCGCACGTCCCTACAGCACACGGCGTGGCACACGGCCGCATCCGAGTGCGGCTCTCCACTCCACGCGCGGAGTGTCTCGGTCAGCTCGCTTCGGTGGCCGGTCTGGTTCTCGAAGAAACCTGGAACGCGCCCAAAGCCAATTGTCGAATCGGTTGGTGAAGGCTTTGGATCGTTGGGATGCTGAAGATACCACCTTTCTATGTAGAGTGTCCTTGGGAGCAGCACGAGGTCACCTTGGGGACTCCTTTTGCTTTACAAGGTGTGGACGACCTCTACTTCCAAGAAGAAAACGCAGGATGTAAGGACTGCAACTTGGCAGGCCCTGTACCGTTTCCAAACTACCTCCTCAATGTCATGAGAATCACTCCCTCGTCTGGATATGTGACATTAATTGGTGTGACCGAACCATCACAAACAAAAAACATGAAGAGCAAGAGGCTCGCGAGGACCCTCCTTCTCCGAAGCATGCGGGCAGAATATGTAAAGCAAGAAGATATGAACTCCCAACGCCACTCACTGGTCCGTGCCTTGGCACCCCACCGCTGCAGCGTCCGTCAGCCCACGCGGCCGGGCGAAAACGCCGGTCGGCGTGTTCGGTGGAGCGCGTTCGGAGCACAGGGCTCCTGAGCGGGGTGTTGCGCGCGGGTGGACTCGGGGCCAAACTGTGAAGTCACAGAAACTTGGAAAGCAATTTTCCTAATTGGTTCGGGAGGAAACAAGTTCGAAACACATGCGTCGGCGATTGTGGGGACTTGTGTTGGGCGAGTGCAACGGACGTCATACCGAGTGAGCTTTGTCCACCGCCTGTCCCTTAGAAGACAAATCTCGAAGAGGATCATTTCAAAGGTCGACCACATCGAAGGCTACAGGAGCCGCGTCGCAATTGTGCTGTCACTTGAGGCTGTTTATGTTGACCCTCGCTCATGTAGAAAACCTGTAGGGACCCTCAATCAACACCCTTGGTCCATTTCTCCTTTTTGCCATTTTGCCCCGGTAGGTTTGGTAGGTTTGTCATACTCAGATCCGTGCCTGGCCGCTGCCTCGGCTGTTCGGGCGGTTGGCAGCAGGAAAAGGTCCACAAAGACCTGAGCGAAACGGGGCGGACATGGAGGGTCCGTGTTTGGGAGAAGCGTTGAGTTGACTGCGGACGTTTTGGTGCTTGAGTGGTTTCTTCCGACTGCATGTCGGGCAGAGTGGTTAGACGTGGATCAGTGGTAAGACTGCATGACGGTTGCTGAATGTTGGGGTTTCCTCACCTGTCGGTCCGCACAACGGAAATGGCAGGTTCTTGCATTTTAGCTTGTTCTTTGTTCTCCTGGATGGACTTCACAACATATTCAAGGAACCATCAACATCGAGTCAAAACCATCAACACGGTCCTCACAAGATTCATCAACAGTTCTTTTTTGCACACTTCCCTCCACACTTTTTGGCAGCCAGTCACCACTGCCAATGCAATGCGCTCTCCCAGGCAAGTGACATCCTCTGGCAGCCGCAGCATACGCAATGCGCAGCAGGCAAAGGTGCCGGAGTGGAGTTAGGTAAAGGCAATCACTGAGGTGAGCAATCGGCAGTGCCTCAGGTGATGTGGTTTTCACCACTTTTTGTGGTCTCGCTGTATTTCAACAACTTCTGTGGTACACGTCTTCCAAGGCACTTTCCGAGGTGCTCGAAGGCAGGAATTTGTTATCCCGGCTTTTATGGCAGGCAAACCGTCTTCGAAGTTGCTTGGTTCCTATTCAATTTGTTTGGCCGGAGAACTTTGAATGTCTTGGTAGCCTCTGGAATCAAAGCTAAGAGACAATCAAATATCACGCAGACCAAGTGCCAACAAAGGGACCGGGAGTAGCAAAACAATGCCCTGAAACTGGACTTTCCGTCGACACGTGATGAACTTCGTGGATCAAAGCGAATGCATAACCCTCCAAATTTGCCAACTCTCTGGGTCTGGCTGCCCCCCGACAAACCTACTTCCCGTAGTCTTTCGGTTTCTTTCTGTTGACACAAAACCTTTTGAGGCACATGAGGCCTACAAGATCCGGCAATGCCTTTGCCTGCTCGTCCCCCTCCGCACTTTTCACGCACCCTGAAGCAGCGTCGAGACTCCAATGAGAAGTGCCAAAGCTCCTCCAACACCTGCTTGGAGAAGCGCATCTACCACACTCTGGCGGCCTTGCCTGACTGCCAAATGCAGTGCTGTTTCACCATCCTCTGTCTTTGCTTCCTTGTCGGCACCTGCCTGGAGCAGCGCATCTACCACACTCTGCTGGCCTTGCTCGGCTGCCAAATGCAGTGCTGTATGGCCATACCTTGTCATTGCTTCCTTGTCGGCACCTGCCTGGAGCAGCGCATCTACC